ATTTCTGATTCTCAAATCACTTCATACCGATTATGGATTCATATGCAAATCATTAAGCTATTATCTGTCTGATGATGGCAATTGCATGCTAAGAAGGTAGAATCAAACAATAGCAATTGATTTGTTTTATGTTTTATAAAATATTTCTCGCTGTACATTAGCATATATGCATTGTTACTTCAACAACATCAATAATTCAATTGGTGAGTTTTTAATTTCAATAAGAATTTAGCATTTCTGGGGTAAGTGGCGAGAAAATTCTATCAGAACAGACATTTCTACAAATGTGATGCTCTGGGATAAGTTGATAAATTATAATAATCTTCATGGGTTGTTTATTCATCAAAATGATTTACTTTCGTGATCAAAAAAGTCATGAAATTTAAGTGGATTTATTGAAGCAAGATAACATCAAAATTTACTTTCTTTAAGCCATGAATAAATTTCAACATAATAGCAGTTTGAGGAAAGATATCACAAAAAAGAAACAAATTGATGTTATCATACTTCAAGCAAGCTTCTTTTTTGCTTTATTATCGCAATATTTTATAATCAGACATCATAAAGTAAATATGATAAATGATAAATGTTCTGTAAATTCAAAACTTTGCAGAAACTATCGATAAACTTTTTTCAATTAATTTATGCAAGTCGTCAACATTTCATTTATTGATGTCAATGCAAGACTTCGTGGAGTAATGGAACTATACCTTTCATATTTATGTATATCACCTCTTCCACTGACCATTACTTTCAATGCAATAGCTCAACTGCTTTTGCTTAGCAACTCATCGTACTGGACTTAAGTATCCGTTAAGCTTTCTAAAGTAATCTTTTATGATATTTACATCAAATTAAATATAGAACTTAACTTCTACATTTCATATTACCTCAATAATGATCACAAATTTTTTAAAAGTTTCAAAGAGACACCATATTTTCCTAACTTGATCAATGAATCATTATCCAATTGTATAAGATATACAAGAAGTCAAAAGCGGACTGGCTATTTACAGTTTCCAGCTAAACCATGGTTGCCATAATATTGTTCGTTAAAATTTTACAGATAGTTTTAATATTCATCTAATCCGAATGCTCTCATCGGAAATTAACAAAGATGACAAGATCTCAGTTTTATTAAAGTTATGTTCAAATGCCCTATCATTATTTTCTCGGAAGACAATTTCATTTAATAATTCTAATAATTTTGCCATCGGTTTGAAGTAGGTGCTTATGCAGCTAATTACTGCAATTAATAAGCTATCAGCATAGCACTAAAATGTTGTCTTCATTATTAATCTGCAACGAAAAAACTTAAATTTTAATAAGTTCTCAATAATTTTATGTTAAATCAATAAACAAAAGGTAACAAATTTTCAAATAAGAGAAAGAAAATACGAAGAACTTACATGAATTATAAAGCATATTTTATAAATTAATACTTCAAATATACGGTTATAGGGGTTTTTCTGTTTATCTTTCATGCACGCATTTTAATTATCAGCCACTTGATTTCATTAAAAAAAAATTTATCGATGAAAAATAAACAAGAAATAGTTGGCACAGTAGAGAAGAATGCCATATTTAAAGTACAAACATCTACGAACTGTTGACAACGACACCGATATATTTAAAAAGCAATTAACTGCATCGCCTTTTCGAAGTTAAATCACAGTAACATAATTTTTTTTAATGATAACTTAAAATTATTTTGATCAGTAGAATGATGCCGAAAGCATTTTTACATGCAACAACAGATATTAATTATAATAACTGACAAGTGACACTCACCTGTCGAGTGTTTCTGAACGTAGAATTCGAGGAACAGCATGTGCCCATACGTGTAATTCGAACTGTCTGTGATACCGCAGAGGTCCTCTCGTCGAGCGTAACAGAGTACGAAGAATGCAATACCTATCAGTTGTTTCGATCTGTTTAAGACTATGCATTTAAGATGGTCGATCATCGCAAGCGACACCTTCCACGCCCACCCAGTCCTATTAATACCTACTACAAATTGCATGGAATCGTACTAAACATCAACTATAGATCTATTCTCATCCCTTATTCTCAAATCTTTATTTCACTATTTGTTACAACGACCGCAATTCTACTTAAGGATAGCTGCAATACAAAGCTAATGAAGTATTTCTCACAGGAAAACAAACAAATCAAATTCCACAAATGTTATTGATATCGATATTATATTTGTTAAAGTGCTATACTGTTGGAAAGACTTGAAAGTGTATGAGCAAAAATCTGAATGAAATTATTACAAAACCATATATTTGATATTGAATCATTTGCTAATAAGCCAAAATGTTAAATGATCTTATCATTGTAAAATAATGAAGAAACTGCCACAGAAGCTTTTACAACAATATCATTCGATTCGTGTTGAAAATGAAGAATATTGGCAAATATTTGTTGATACAATTCAATAAATTCTATGAAAAGCAATTTTAGAATTGATAGATTGAATATGCTTTCACGAATTGTTGCACTCTCTAGGATTTTTGATTTAGCACCTACAACGAGATTCGAGGCTTGTTTCTTCTTTCAACTGAAAACTATGGCATGTAATTTAAAAAATGACAATCAGATTAAGTGCCTTTTTGGTTTTACAAAGCAGATAAAGCGTTGTCCTCAGTTGTATAAGAGAATAACTTTGAACCGAAAATAAAATAGCCTTCACTTACAATAAGAAAATATTATAGTATAACAGTGTTACTGTTTTAAATAAGCCATAAATTTGAGAAAAAAAAAATATCCATACTGAAATTAGAATCAATTCCATGGATACATTTAAGATGCAGTGCTGTAAATCTGTTTCAGAAATCCGTAACAAGGTAAAAAACTTAATCATAATTTTTGCAAAATATTATTCGCCACGGTATATTTTTCATTATTCATTATGTGAATCATATGAAAACTCTTTCCATAATATTTAATATAATATGAAAACTCTTTCCACAATATTTCTTCCCGCCTGTTCGGTTAATTCTTTAAAAATTAACTCCAAGAATTTTCTATTTCTAGAAAACTAGCCTTGCGAACGGATTCGCTTCAAAAGATATTTATATTCTTGTTCAAAGTCATGAAACCGGCTTTTGCAGCAATATTTTTGCAATAAATTGTTATGAACGGTAAAAAATTGTCAGATGCTGATTTCTAAGCTGAAATTTCACAATTTCATTTTCTCTTATTTTCTTATAAAATAATGACCACTATCCATTCCTCTTCCGAACAATTCCTTACATGGTGATTTTGAAAATATATATTTTATCAATTCCTTACATACCGCTGCTCACGAACTAAAACTTAGATTAAAAAAAAAGATAAAACAATGAAGATTATCAACTTGTATATTCTGATATAAAGAATCTGAATGTTCATAAAATATATTTTCAAAAAATGCAACACATTTTTAAGATTATTTACTATTATAATAGGATTTGTAAAAAATCTCTAGAAGAAAAAGGAATAGATGGAACGAATCATAAACTTGAAGTCAATTATAGGAATCGGAAGCAACGAATAGAATCTATTCCGGTCAGTAATATAATAACTGGACGTAGGGCAATTAGAAAAACTGATACAACAGGCTCTGCTATTCCAGAAAAATGAATTCAATTGCCAAAAATAGTGTAGGCAGTTTTTTGTATCAGGTTATTTAATTAATTTTTTTGCATTGTAAAAATTTGCTCGTTGCGCTTCTTCTAGAAGTTTTAGATATTTAATTGATGACTTAAATGATTTTAGCACTCTGTTCATGCTCAAAACAAATCTCTTGTGTTGATTATTAACAATGAAAATGCATAATATGCTTCTTAAAAATGATAAAAATTGAATGATAGAAGTCGTTTCTCAATCTTTTATCACATAAATTGTTGATTCGCACGGTAGCATAACAAAGGTAAAACATTTCTAAATTATTAACTTATCCAAAATCATAATAATATCAGAAATGATTAGTTTTATATATTCAGCTATGACTATCATTAAGCATTTTATAGATAGAATACTTTTCTCTGCAGCTGATTATTTACGTGCTCAATCAGAATTAGAGATTATATTAATTTTAAAATTTTGAAAAATTCATAATTGATAGTGAAACAAATCTGTATGTTTGATGTGAAAGTGTAATAGAGGCATGATAGATTGCTACCCTTGAAATGTGTAAAATGCTGCAGCAGTATTCTTTTTTTTTAAAGCAATGTCCTATTAATTTGATGGAAGGGAAACCGCATCCAGCTTCCGTAACAACACTATCAATTTATCAGGAAGTCAGCTTCCTCTTGCTTCCCTTATGAACCCATTGTCCAATTACGCGCGAAACCGGAATAGAGGCGACTGAGTATTCTACTGCTGGGTGAATTAGTTACCGGATAAGCCTGAAAAATACATTTTGTATTAATGAGATAGTCACTGAAATCCGTATCCTAATCATGACATATAATGTTTATTCAACTATTTCTTTATATATGAAACAACTTCAATTAAATTGCACACTGCAAGCTGATTATTTTTAGTTAATTTACCCACAATTATCATCTTTCGTTTCTTTTTTAAGATTTTACATTTAGTTAACCCTAATATTTTGGCACAAGAAATATTTTGTGCAATGCATTATCATTATGGCGTGGGTTAGAAATGCGTTTCTAAGCTTACGTTAGCTTATTTAATAGGTTATAAATTGAACGTAGAGATGTTTTTAATACAAAAAGGATTACTTTCCGATGTTATCATTTTAATTTTTACAACTTGACAAAATGTTCGAAACAGCAACAAAAAAAGGGCACTTTGAATAATTTCAACGAATTCTGAAACATATAAGCAGAAATAGTAAAAAAAGAAATTATGGTCTGCTTGATGAACATTCGAATATGCTCTAAGAGATACAAATGGAGAATTGCTTGCCATTCAGGAATATGAGCCTATCTCTAATTGGGTATCAATGATTTCTTTCTACATACGGTAAGTCATCAGATGTACCCTGTTCAAAAATACGGATAGTTGCGAGTGTAGACAGAATAGGTCCCCGTGCCACCACGGATCGCTGAATAAGAATTGGCGCGAAGAAGATCCATCTGTCTACAAGTTTGATCCAGTTTATCCGACAGGGTTTTGTATTTTGCTTTCATCTAAAAAACTTACAAATTCCAGAAACGGTTATATATTTGGGTAATTTCCAATCACAACTGGTATATTTAGCCACGTGTAGCAATGTCGCCAATCTTTTTTTATCAGGATGGATCAATTTAAAAAGTGACTTTTTGGCCATTATGCGACTACATTTGACAGTCATGATAATAAGGGCTTAGGAACAGATTATTTCAAACTTTTAACTTCTCATGAAGCATGGATGGAGCTCACCCTTTCGCTGGCAAGTCTTTCACGAAATAAACGCCTTTGCAAATCGGCAATTCTGCTCTGAAAACAACATTTCGAATTGAAAATTGATAGAACAATGCATTATAGCATATAGATGAAGCTTTAATGTTATAATAACAAGCGGTTATTGTCACTAATAAGCTAATTGGTTACATGTTATGAAAAGTTTCACGTGTAATATATGCTTGTTAGATGATAACAATGATTACGAGGACATTGAGACAATTGGAATATTATTCTTTACATGCTATTGATTTCATCAAAATCTGAACTAATTTCAATTTTGTGGGAAGGGATACCTCGATCATTCTCCATACTCGCATCTCCATGGAATGATTGAAACTGTAGGAATGTATTATATTTGGAAAGAAAGCAGATTTGAAAACTCTTGAACCAATAAAATTAATCTGATTTCAAGAAATAAATATTTAATCACACGTTCATTCATCTGACGCTGTTAATTGCTACGCTAAAATTTGCTATTGTTATTAACAAATAACTATCAACAAGCATTTGCTACACTGAGATCGCAAAGTTGCTCTATCACCAGATGATCAGTTTATTTTACATTCAAATTTTATTGACTATGCACAGACTAGATTTTAATTTAAATGTTCAAAAATTTTTAAAAATTTATGCCAAAACTAATATTTCCTTATCTTTTCTTTCTATATTGATATGCCTTACAATATGTGTGGTAAATGCATTCCTGTGAAGCTGATCAAATCGTTTGATTTGTCAGATCAGTGATCGGAATGTTTTCCAACTTTTGGTGAAAAATTCAAATTTCTTGAAATTCGAATTATTGAGAAATGAAAGATATATCAGGTAGCATTTTAATTGTCTTCGTTTTTGTGGAGTTAGTAAAGGATTAGGTGTTATAAGCTCACCTCGTACAGATTATGAGACATTGACATCGGATTATAGATATATGAATTAGTATAAAGAGCGGAGCGGTGTTGAAGCGATAACGGGCTGTTGTAAGCCTACAAGCAGGCCTACTATCAAAAATGTAATTTCTATTTTAGGAAAAGGAATAATATATAAAGTGGAGTATTTAAATTCAGCCTGTTTCAACTGAAAGCATGTAAGAATTGTAAGATGAAATTAGTAAAAATATTTGAAACACTTTTAAAATATGTTTTATGTATTTTAATATAATTTATGCTTAATTTTAAGTATTGTTTTAAAATTCTCTAGCGACACTAAATTGTCTTCTCTAAGAATGCATTGGAAAATTCTGGTTTAAACGTAGAGTTAAAATATATTAAGTCAAAAGAGGAAGAGTGAAAAAGATGAATCAAATTAAAAGTTCTGCTAACGCTTTCAGAAACCTTTTTCATGTATTTCTGAAAAATAATATTTATGAAAAATAAGTACATAAGAAAATCTCTCTTCAAAAATTAGATAGTAACAAATCGATAAAAAATTATTTCAAACAACGAACTCTGTATCCAGTAACCGGAGTATATTCGTGCGGTAAATAAGGTCGTAACGGTGAACGATACTTAGCATAAGTACTCGGAAATCCATACTCAACGTTACGATTCAAATCACGTATGTAGCTATCGACTCGCGACAAACGTTCCGTATCGTAGAACATATCGACATTCGAACGTGAGCTTAAAGCAAATAATTTTTCTTTTTTCCAGCGATGAACCATGTTTATTGTTATTTTAAATTTGGTGAGAGCAATGGAAGCATTGCTTCGCCGATCTCACAATCATTTGAAAGAAGCAAACCTTTGTCGGCTTAATCTATCAAGATCTGAGAAGCGGCTTGAGTTTCTTGCAAGCTCATATTGTTTCTGCCCGCTATATTCCATGAAGGAAATGAATGAGCCGGAACGTGAAGAAGAGCGGTATGCTGATGACGACAATGGTGGCGTTGAATAGTCGCGAGTTCGGAGTGGTGGTGTTGCATAGTTCGAAGTATAACTAAATTTCATTAGCAGTAATTTCATTCTAACACCACAACCAGACTTTCAAGGAAACTTTAGTTTTTGATACAATCATTTTGATGAAAACCATATTAAATATATGGTTCTAATAAAAGCGGAATATGCGATGAAGTAAATAACAGGGTAATCTTAGTTTTCCTTTCTAGTCTTTGTAGTCTAGAAAATGAATGTACCGGTAATAATTGCTGGTTGAGCGCTTTGAGCGAAGTGCATTTCTTAGCTCTCGAGAGCGACTACGCGAGCGTTCAAGAAGACGACTCGTCGAGTACAAACTGCTTGAAAATGGACCTAAAATTTGGATTGTTCTTGCACAAGTTGTAATCTAAATACAGAATATACTCATGGTTCTTAATGCACCTATTAATTTCAGTAACTTCATTATTTCTTTGCTAAAATTAGTTAAATCCATGTGATCATCCTCATTGATTGCTGTATAAAAAAAAAAAAACAAGATATTTATTGATCATCAATTCCAATATCATTAAAGTTCATCAGGCTTAAGTAAAGAGCTGAGAAAAAAAAATTAATTAAAATGTATTTGCGAATTTCAGTAAAGTTCTCATTTTTAGACTGCAATATGCAACAAAATGTTTCCTGACTGGCAAAAAGAAGAAAATATTTTTAATTTCTATTCATAAAACAGATTCGAGATCACTTATCTTAATATTATGAATTCAGAAGTAATAAATTTTAAATTAAAATATTAAAATTTGGCTGTATGTTATTTGCGAATGGCTTATTAAATAAGAAAAGAAATATTAAAAACAAACCCGAACTGACAATGTCATCAAATATCGCAGTGTAAGTAGATGGAGGCTTATAAGTTGAAACGGCAGTGTAATCGTTTCGGTATTTTTGCGCGGAATTTTGTACCCATGGACTGATTGGCGAGTACGATGTTTTTTCGACTGGGGTATAGGACGAAAATGATAAAAAACTTGTCATACGAGGAGGAGCGCCTCTTTGTCGATATGTATCCTGATGGGACATTTCCGGATCAGAATTTTAAACCGAAACCCTAATTTATCTCAAGAAAGTTTTCCAATGTAATATTTAGCAAGCAGGTAGAAACATTATTCAACATTTTTACCTCATACTGAGTAATATCTTAACCTGAAAAAATTCGACTACTAATAAAAAAGTCTATTTCATTATTTCAATAACTAATGACAAAAACCAGTCATTTTGATTTATGAAGTTTCGCAAAATAGCAATTGTAATAGGTGCGAATGTTTAAAATGGAGTGAATTACCTGACTCAAATCAAATTGAAGTCAAACCAATTTAAATCTCTAGGAGGTCACCACTAAATGAAATTATTTAAAGAATTGATTACATACTTGATCATATGACTTGTATGAACTTCCGTAATTTACTTCTCTCCTTATCGGTGATGGTGATCGCTCCTGACGTTTTCTAATTGGCGATGGCGAATGTCTGCGTGAAGGAGAAGAGATGATTTGTCTCGTTGGTGGCGGAGATTCCCGCTGCAATTTAACATCTATGAAATTTCAATTCTCTACTACATAAAGCTTTTGAAAAACTCATGTTGATGATTATACAAGAATAACCAGATTTTAAAAACTTTAATCGTTTTATGAATTTATCTTATTTTCTTCTCTTATTATTGTTAAAAGTTTACTTCACCAACAGTAACATATTTCTCATTTTCGATATCTTTTTCTGCTTCCGATATTTTTTTCACTTCATCTTCAACATCTTCAGTAGTAATGTCTTCAGTAGGAACCTATAACATACTTTTACATGCCCATTCGTTAAGTTCATCGTTCTTTCAGACAAAATTAGATAATTACACTGTAGTTTTATTAATCACTCCAAAAATTAGATTCTATCATTTTGAAACAAACCTCGTCTTTCAACTCTTCAATTGCTACTTCAGCATCAGTTTTAGTTATTTCTACTTCAGCTTCTTCAGTATACGGTTCAGGCTCAGGTTCAGCTTCCGCTTCGTTTGATTCAGTTCTATAATGTATACTGATAAATAAAGTAATAAAATCTTCGTATTCTTTACCTAAACTTGCCAATATTCGTCTTTTGCAACTAAATATAAGTAAAGTAATAAGAGACCATGTCAACCAGCGGCGCAACGCAGTACAGCTAGTTTAAAAATGGAATAAAATAAGCAAAAAGTGACAATGACATGCGAAGCCTTCAATAAACTGAGCGTTGGATCATAAATCGATCATGAATATTTTAGGTATTTACTAGGCTCTTTCAAGCAATGGACAAACCATTTTCAAATAGCAAACATTGTTGGAGGATAAAATTTCGAACTTTTACAATAATTTTGAATTTCGGAAAACAATTAAATTAGGATAAGCTTGGGAAGTGAATTAAGCTGTATTCAGGAATTACATTTTGAAGTTTGAAATTTTGAGTTTTAAAAAAGAAGTCAAGAAATGAAAGATTCAAACTTGGTTATTTTTGTCCTTCCCACTCTCACTGATTGTAACGCTCTTGATGATATAGGGGAAATTTCCGTTGTTTCTTCGTCTTCTTCTTCGACATTTATTATTTTTGAGATTTTTCGGGACGGGATCTTTTCTTCTATCTCTGAGGATATTTTCCGAGCAGCAGATGATTTCCTGGAGGCCACTTTTTCTTCTTGGATAGCTGATGTTTTTCGCGACGCAACTTTTTCTTCAATTTCTGATATTTTTCTGGATGGTGCTTTTGTTTCTTGAATCGCTGATGATTTTCTTGATAGCGCTTTCATTTCTCTAGTTTCTGAAGATTTTCGTGACAAAGGTTTCTCATTTTCAATAGCAGATGCTTGTCGAGACAGAGCCTTTTCCTCCATGACTGAAGTTTTTCTTGAAGGCACTTCTTTTATTGATGAAGTTTTTCGTGACAAAGGTTTCTCATCTTCAAAAACAGATGCTTGTCGAGATAGAGCCCTTTCCTCCATGGCTGAAGTTTTTCTTGAAGGCACTTCTTTTATTGATGAAGATTTTCGTGATAAAGGTTTCTCATCTTCAATAGCAGATGCTTGTCGAGACAGAGCCTTTTCCTCTATGACTGAAGTTTTTCTTGAAGACACTTCTTTTATTGATGAAGTTTTTCGTGACAAAGGTTTCTCATCTTCAAAAGCAGATGCTTGTCGAGATAGAGCTTTTTCCTCCATGACTGAAGTTTTTCTTGAAGGCACTTCTTTTATTAATGAAGTTTTTCGTGAAGAATTTTTTTCTTCTATTATGGATCTTTTTCTTGGCGAAAACTTATCGTCAGTGATAGATTTTTTGGAAGAGGATTTTTCCTCATCGGATGCAAACTCCTCTTTGGTCATTGATGGCGTCGCCATTGATGCATCATCTGCTTCTTCGAGTTTTAAACTTGACGTATGAGAGCTCAAATAAAATCATTTCGCAAAATAAGCAAATGAATTATTAAGCTAATGCAATTAGTGCATAAAGAAATTTTTTAGGAAGAGAATGAAAAAAAAGAAACTTTCGTGCTATATTCTTATTCAACATTATACCATTGAAACCTGCAGATAAAAAATTCATAAACTAAAAATTTAATCAAGCATTAAAACAATTGCAAAAGAATGATAAATATAGGATAGCGAAGCAGAAATTCAAGTTGAAGAACCTGTTATGAATTGGACAGTTGACTTACCTATGGATCGTTTCTGATTTTTCTTCTGGTGGTAGAGCTGATGCAAAACTGTCCTCTGAAATTGGCATAATTTTATTAAGACATTCATTTTTACTACATTCTCACTGCTTTGAATTATGTTCGAGATAGTGTTCCGTGTTACTTTTATTCAGGTCAGCATTTTCAGTTGATATATGACAATTGTAATAAATCATGCTGTTCGAAAAGCATGCAAATCCTCTAAACAGCAAAAAATTAAGAAGACGGCCTTTAACATAAGCATAAAGCTTTTATCATGACAGATATTTCCCACCTTTGGCTTCGGCTGCAATATTAAAAGTAAAAGGAGAAACTTTCATGCATGCAAATATATTAAAAACAAATAATGTGTTGTTACCGATCATGTATCTTTGCAACTTTTTTGCAAATATTCTAATCAAAAAAAGTGAAAAAGAATGATATAATAGCAACATAGCCGTAGGAAAATATGTTCAGGACTTCACAATAAAACGATTAGGATTTGAAAATGAGCAGTCCTGAAATTAACTTTGTGCAATTCACAAGAATTCACAAGAGAAAAACTAACAAAATTAATGACTACAAATTGTGCATATAATTAAAGAATGAATGCACAAATTTAATGCTAATCAAGAGGTATTAGCATGATAAATTTATTGCATTATGTATAGTAAAAGATCCCTCATGAAATCCGAATTTTGTATTGCAAAATAAGTTGAGTAACATGATTGAAATACATTAGAAGAAATGGTAAAGATTCTCAAAGATGTATTATAATTAAAATTATCTAATTTCCCTTGTAAATGAAGAAAGGCTGAAATTGAATTTGAGTTTGTTGTGCAAAATTTTGCAAAAATCTGATCGTTAAACTGTGATTTAGATAATGATCAAGGCACGGAGGGAAATAACCGCATAAAAATTAAGTAGATTTAGAAGATGCTGTCATATGTTTAGCATTGATGATTAATCAAATGGTACCATAGATGATTTAATCATTGAGTGAATTATATCAGATAATTCAACCTGGCACAATTAGTTACGCTTGCATTTGTTAAATGAATTGATTTAAAACATACTAAGCGAAGGAAACTATAATAAACATGCAACGCTAACCTTCCTTTTGGACATCGTCCTCACTGATCTCAACTGCTTCATTGTCCAAAGCTTCAGATTGCTGCTCTTCGTTCGAAAGATCTTCTACATTATCAGGCTCATTTTGCTTAGCATTAAAGATTTAGCAAATGGTACCACAGACGATTTAATCACTGAGTGGATTATATGAGATAATTCAACCTAGCACAATTAGTTACGCTTGCATTTGTTAAATGAACTGATTTAAAACATACCAAGCGAAACAGACTATAATAATATACATGCAACGCTAACCTTCCTTTTGAACATCCTCCTCATTGATCTCAACTGTTTCATTGTCCAAAGCTTCAGATTGCTGCTCTTCGTTCGAAAGATCTTCTACATTATCAGGCTCAATTTGTTTGTTATCTATGTCTTCCTCTTTTGCCCCTTCTGTTCCTGTTTCCAAAAATTCTTCTATAACAGCTTCAGAATCATTCGTAGCCAAACTCTGCAATTTTATTTTAAATTAATTTTCATTTATTGAAAATATTTTCTTTGTTTTTTTTTCATTGTTATCAAAGCTTGCTAATATTTTTAAGCTTCTTCACTTCATATGAGAAAAACTTGGACATATATCATAATAACACATAAAAGTCTTTTCTTTTCCAAAATTGTGTTTACGAAGACAAATAAGAGTTAATAAAGCGCAGTAGGCTTATTTAGAAAATATAGATTAAAGGAAAATTGATAGTCCGTGGTATAATTATGGGAATTTTACGAATTCAGCTTATTAATGAAAGGTTATTTTATGAGACAAAAGAGCTAACAATGAAGGCATGACAGACTGTGCACACAAAGAAGTTTCTAAAATCTCGATCTTGATTACGAATCCTTTAACATTTAATAGTTCATTACAAAAGCCAAATTTCTAAAATATAGTTAGTTGCCAAAAGCGTTTTACATGGCACAATCACGGATTCTACACAATGATACCTGTTCGATGATAACATCTTGTATGACTTTAGTAACCTCGAGAGGTTTTGCATGTTTTAGTGTTTCCTGAGCTTGCCCCACTTCTGGTTGAGCTTCGTTCACTTCTTCAGATTTTACTTCAGAGGAAGCAGTATTCTGTATCGTCGGTAACTTTTTAGCCTCGTCATCTTCTTGGGGTGTCTCAACATTCATAGCTGCTGTCTCTTGGGCTGGTGCCGCTTCTTCTTCCAGCATTGTTTCAGTTTTATTAATTTCCTTAGATGCTTCAACTTCAAGAACCACAGCTGTTCGTTCTTCTTCTGTTGGCGCTTCTGCTTCCATAATCGAAAAAACTTCTACATTGGCAGTTCTCGATTCGACAGGTGGTTCGGCTTCTTGTTCTGCAAGTGCCGATGTTTCTATGGCTTGCTGAAAACAAGGCCATAACGCAACATGTTCATTTTAAATTTGTAGTTGCACCTTCAAATACCGCTTCATCCTTATTTCTTGATGGGTACTACCAAAAAAAAGAAGATCAGCGATTTCCAGTGATTAAATCTTTTAAGAAATCAACCTCTGTTGTTAAATCTTCGCTGAAAAGAAGGCGAAGTGACAGCAAATATTTTAACCATTAATACAATGTTCTGACATTCCTCTTCCACATCAACAATGTGTGAATCGAAATCTTGTTTTTATTTTGAAAAATTTTACCGTTTTCTTTCTTTTTACAGAAAGACACTGTTTCCTCTCAATTAATGATTAGTTAAGAAATAATTGCAGCAAAAACCCAATAATTCTTTTTTATAAATTAAATTGATACTTCTCCTAGCAATTATTTCAGACTTCACGTGAAAATTTTTTTGATGAAATCAAAAAATCCTCAGAATGTTTTTGAGAGTTATCTCACAGTTCAACAATTAGGAATACGATAGGCAAATATCTTCAGAATATTTCAACTACTGTTCTCTATGCTTAGTTATTCTAGACCATCCAATCATGAACAAGTTATTATTCCAAGTTATCTAGCCATGAGCAAGTTTCTAATTCTCGGAACTTCCTACTTCTTAATCACCAGTTATTCAGAGCGAAAAAAAGACAAATAAACAGGAAAAGTGTTGGCAATAAAATAATCAATAGGTAAACAAAAGACAGAAAAAGAAGCGAGTGCAGGCATCGGTATTTTCTACGGAAGTTTTTATTGAGAATGAGTGATAAGTTGAAATATTAATTATTCAAATTCTTCTGCTACTTTTTATCCAGATGAGATAGATGGCCATCATAGTCAATAGTTCTGCAAAAATCCTAAGTTTAATCATGTCAAAAATTGAGCGTGGGATTTTCATGCTGCTTTATGAGTTTCTACCAGATGTAACCGCTGGAAACGAATTTTGGGAATTTGGAAAGCATCGATTTGCAAATATCTCACTATTATCGACGTAGAATGATACAGATTCATTTGATGGATTCCATTGATGAGCAATGTGAACGGGAACAATGCCAAATAATGATTAAGATATTTTCTGCTAACAGTGATCAATATGTGGAATAAACATGCAAATGTTGATCTAATGATTCTGACAATGATAATAATGCATTTCTTGACTATTGAAGTTTAGAAAAAAAAGGAATGATTATATAAACGAGTAATTAAAAGGAGAAAATTGATACCTCTTCGGTTGGAAGTTCTTCAATGCTATCCATTGAAGTAGCCATCACATCTGCGTTATCTGTACCAGTTATATCAGGTACCTGCAATGACATGAGACATGCTTTGATAGGAAAGCAAAAGGATGGTCGTGATCCTGGATAGATCTTCATTTCATACTTTTTTTACAATGGACGGAATTCAATCTATTGAGCAATATGATATGATGAAATATATCTTTCCTTCCTTTCCTTCACAAACTCAATTTTACAATTCAATTCTCAGCATGATGCTATCAGATCTCAAATGCTGTTTTCATCTCATGGAATAGAAAGATAATTGATTTTACACTGAGCAATTATGCATTACATAGATTGATTAATTTTATAACTAATTAATCTTATAATTTATAACTGTTAAAATTTTGAATTAAAACTGCATATTTGCAGTTAGTTGACATTTTAAGAAATAAATATTTGAAATTTTGGTGTTATTTTGTCCATTTCTGAATTTACATCGAACAATGTTATGCAATCTGTGCAATGATCACATTTCACTTACTACTTCGATTTACTCGCAACAAAAAACGTTGCCTGTACTACAAAATAAAAAAATAGATATTAATTTATGTGCTTAATTCAAATTTTGATGGATAAAAGAGTTGAGAAAAATTTATCAGCGCAATAAAATCAATTTTTTGACTAATGAAGTGAGTGTTGCACGAAATACATTTTGCTAAAAACATATCAGTTGTTTATTACATATAACCCATCTTATTGATAAATCTCAGAGATGAACATATGTTCGTATGTCAATCTATTTCTTATAAAAGCAATCTTAAGATTGCTTTTATAAGATTGGTAGTTGGAAATATCATTCAGAAAAAAAATATTCTAGATCAGTGATCATTAAAACATATGTTTCAAATATTACTGATTTCTTAACAAAACAAACATAGATTATTTATTGATTATGATTAATGAAAAAGTATTTTGATAAAAACAATATATTAACCCTTAGTTTTAAATAAAATTATTTGTAATTCTGTTAAGATTGTCACATGCAATATTTTTACTTCTTTATGACTTATCGAATTATTTTTTTGAAATGTAAAAATGAAAAAGAGATATAGAAATCGAATAGTGTTAATGAGATTCGGTAATGTATAAAAATAAACTTTGTGAAAATACTATGTATGCGACGAACAACATGAGACTTACTTGTACGCAACTTTTAAGATCTGAATCACTGAATATAAATGTTAATGAGTGACATCTTTTTCTCTAATTCTTTAAATGATTTTTGGACAAGTGAGAAATCTTGACTTCTAATCACTAAATAAAGGTCTGAAGTCATAAAGCAATATAAATTTGCTCAATGTTGGTTCAATCAATTTGACTTATCTAATTTGACACTTTGCTGTGAATTAAGATAGCAAGAATTGGAAAGTGTCAAATGAGGACAACATGATGAGATTAAGAAGGTAATTCTGTTTGTTATTCAATTAGAAGTAACCAATTAATAATCTGGACAGAATATGTTCAATGATTTCTATCAGTTTTCTTTGGAGGTTAATGGAGCAAAACCATCTGTGGAAAATTTGAAGCATTGAATAAGCAGAAAATCAGAGGGTTTCAATAAATCGCTCTCATACAATAAATTGTATGGCGAAAATTTTGCTAATAACCTATTTGACTATAAATAGATTCGAAATATCGGTATTCCAAGTAGGCAAATTTTAAATAAAAACTAATTTGTTGTGGGAAAATTTAGCATAAAATTTGAAACAGTTTTCTTAAAATGCTATTAAAACTAACATTTGAAAAAAAAAAGTAAATAACTGATAAAAATAAAAAGTGCAACAAATACACGTAGTTGCTTAAAGTTGAACTTGTCTTGCAAAATTTCAAAAGCTCAGAAGTGTTAAAACATATCACGTTGCACGAATTTTAATAAACGATCAAAACATTGCTTGTATTTTTCGAAAATACCACATGAATTACTATACTTTAGACTTATAAATATATAATGTGAAAAGTGAATTGTGCATATCCTTTTCATTTTTTCCAAGTATACGCCAAACTCTTCGAAACAAAATAATATACGATTCAAATTGATTTAAGAAGATAACAATTTGAAATACTTTGTCAAGTTTTTGTTTTCATTCTTTACAAATAGCAAACATATCGAATCCACAAATCTTTTATATTATATTTTCAATTAATTTTTTTGGATTTTCTTGTCTTAAATTTACCTAACATTAATTTTAATCAATTAATGATGATAGTAAATTAGTGATAAGTAAAAGCATCTATTGTAAAGTATCAGAGAAAACATTGGGAAAGCATAAAAAATATTTTAAAATAAAAGTAAACTAATGAACGTTTACTTCTCATACCATTATTTTTTTTTTGCGTACCCTATGAAGAAAAAGTAATAAGTAAATGAAAGTAATACCTGATCCTCAGTTCTATCCTCAACTACTTGCTCTTCCACTACTTCATCCATCATCTGTATTGGTTTTTCTTCATCGATTCCTGCTTCGTCTAGAATTGACAAAAACTTTTTGAGCAAAAACTTTTTGTCTAATATTGTATAACAAGAAGAAAATTCACAAACTATTTTATAGTACCGTTCAGGTATTCCTACTACAACTGAAATTGAAAAGTCATAACACAAATTAGAAGACAATTAGAAGACTAAATGAATTAAATTTCGTGGCTCACTATTTCTCCTGTCGCCCGCACATTTCAAATATCAGCATTGCTTAAGAAAATAGCTCAAATTGAAGAAAAAAACTTTAAAAAAATGGTCATCGAATAAATAGTGTGATATACTCACCGATTTCTTTATAATCCAGTTCATCTTCATCCTCGACTTTTTCGACAGTTTGATCTATTACTTCCACGGCGTTTAGCTCATTATTTTTCAAAGTTGCTGATAATTCGTCTTCGTGATATTCTTCTAACGCTTCTCTTTCATCCATCCCTTTTGCCTAAATAAATTTCCTACACAACCTGAATTCATTGTTTCCCTTTTGCTGCACATTCTTCTACAGCTCCTCATTTTTCGCTTCATTTTTAAATTTCTATGAATCTTATGATCTCCATTACTTCATGATACAAGTAAAACTATTCATATCAGAGTTAGGAAATAACAGTTAGCTTATTAATTTATCTCAAACATTACTTCACAACGTATAAAACACATACCTCATTGTGCTCACCGCTTTCCGTACCCTCCTCCACTGCCACTTCACTAACTTGAGAATTTTCAGCATGCAATGGTTCATCACTGAGAGCGGCATCGTCTTCCACAATCATAGTTTGCATTTCTTCTGCTTCTATACCATTTAATCTAGAATGATTAATTGTCGCAATAATTGTTAATTGTTCCTCTCTCTCAAATAACCATTGATACTGACAAACAAATAATTCATCTAATTTCCTTATCGTTTGGAAAAATCTAATTGATACATGAAATGCTAATACGCTTATTCCTCACAATATATAAATAATTAAAAGCACCAAATCAATATAAAAAGTATGTTAGAAATGATAACTCACTGAATTGTTCCGCTATCTTCTACGTCAGCCATTCCAATAGCAATTTAATGTATTTTGAATCTTTGAAGCAACTACTTTTCTTTTCTAATATTCCTATCGAGGATGAGGCAATAGTAAAGCCTCTTCCCTCTGCAATTAAATTACTTTTTTTTACACTTTTAATATCAAAAAAGCTTTATTAAAGTTAAAACATTAGAGATAAGCAATCTGTATCTGTATTTGAAAACGATAAAGATAAATAATAAAGTGTACTGTAGTTTCATTGCAAGAAAGATCACTTTCAACAAAAAAATTCAATGCCCAGTTTGCTACAAACTGATCTAATTTCATTCGTTGGAACTACCATTTTTTCTTCCTCACAAACAATAAATTTTCTCCAATTAATAAAAAATTGATATATTGGCTTGATGTAAATGAGAAAAAAATGAAGCAACTCGCCGTTTATTCCAAATCAAAGGAAATAAAATTATATTTAAATTCAATAAATTATTTCAAATATAAGCGACGAAGAGATTTCCTTTGTTTGAAGTAATAAACTTACTTTTGATGTCCTTTTTTGTAATCTTTCCTTCGAAAGATAACTTAGCGACTCCAAATTTTGGACTGCAAATTTAAATCAGTCAATAATATTTTTCAATCATAAAAGATGCAGCGATTCGAAACGAGTGGTAAAATTTATCTTAATTTCACTGAAGAGAATAGTTGATACTTCAGATTATCGATAATGTTCGAAGCTTTATGATGCATCAAATTCTTTTTTACTTTATCAAATATGATTAAATCACTAGTAATTCTGAAATCCTAATTGGATTGATTGGATTTAGTGATGAAAAAGTGACTAAGATTTATGTGAACAAGGTTATTGCTAGGTATAATAGAGTGAATGAATGTTAGAAGATTGGCGTAATCTATTATTTATGAGGAATGAATTCTAACAATTTCAATAATTAATTGAATAGTAATAATTCCACATCTATTTTACAGCAAATGTTTGTAAGCAATTTTACAAATAAAAATCTTAAGAAAGCAATAATAAGATAATATAATATAAAGAAGCATCGGTGCTAATTTATTTAATTTTTCATTCGCCACATTTTGCAGCCAGGATGAATAGAAATTGATTTGAAGTGATAATATTTGAATCATTTTTTTACTATTGACTTAAAACTTACGAATTTTGCATGAATATTTTTTTGAATTGCTAAATTAATATAATTATGATATCTTGAAGATGAAAATTTGGTAAGAAAACAAGTAATGAGAATGTTCAACTAAGAAGTTGGAGCAGTTAATGAAATTGAATATTGTTCAGCCGAATTAAATTCTGAAATAATATAAAAGCAGCAGTGCCTTGAAAGGATAACAGTTTAGTACACATGTCCATTCAATGTTTTTATAATATCACTGATAAAATAACTTTCAGTCATTCCTTCGGTTCTCTGCTATTCTTTTAATATTATGCTTGCTTCATTTTTCAACTCCTGGAATTTCCAAAGTGCTAAATGATGATGGAAAACGAGTTTCTGCAACTCCAGATTTCGTCTAATGTTGATTTATGATGATGTACCATGTGAAGAAAATATGAAAATCGAGCTAGAGTCTGTTATTAGTTTAATTAGAGAGAGCCAGTCCTTGGTCCTTGGTTTGCTGGTTTCCTCCAAAAAACTTCGTAATCATTACACTCAATTAATTTGGCTCTCAGGAATCTTAAAACTTGAAATTAGCCCGTTTTTCTAGAATCTTGCTACTCTTATGATGTCATCTTTGGTGTTGAAGCCTTGGAAAGAAAAGATTTGCAAGTTAAGGATGATTTACAAGTTAAGGATGATCTGCAAATTCAATGTTAAATGTGTCAGATCTATGGCAAATTTCTGACCCTTCACGTTCTTTACATAAGAAAAAGCATTTGATTATGAAAAGAGTGAAAGTGATAAAAATGAAACTGATCTGAATTGACAGCTATCAGGAAATGTTTAGAACGAATAGCTGGAAATGAAGCATGAAGGGAGGAGCATACCCAAACATTGATGAACGCTGAATACGCGCTACTTCACTTCAGATGAAGTTCTTTTTAAATCATTTCAAAAACAAAACAAAGTTTCTCTTATCAATAGTTTACTGGGTAGCAGGCAAGTTAAGCGATGCACAAACTATTTGATTTGAAATGATGGCTACCGTGTCTATTTCAAATCCACAAAAATTTATCCTCCTGCTGAATTTCCCTCCCATCCCTTCCGCCTCTCTTTTTTCACCACTGCTGCTATTGTTTCGATCCCTAAAATCCACTTATTTATAATCAGCTCATTTCACTATTTTCATTGGTTACACTCCGAAAAAGTACATAGTTTGAAGTTGTTAGAATAAAAATGACGAACTTTCTATCTAATCATCTCCCGTAACAGTTTCTAAACAAAAAAGGAACTTCATCAAATTATGCCAAAACAGTTCGTAATTTATTGGTTAAGATATGAAGTAGTAAACTGCACCTATTTTCGCTTCTTAATTTCCGATCTTCCTTGCACACAGCAATGATCAATGAATTAATATTTGAACTTTTTTGAATGTCAAAATTTTTGAATTTGTTAACATTCCTTACACTAAACAAAGGGAAATTGATCATTTATCGGAATCTTATAGGAAAGTAGAAAGTCTCATAAGGAAGCTAATTCTGTTAGCTATCGATTAACACTGATTCTGATATTCCTTTCATTTTGGAAATGATACACAAATAGTGGCGGTTTGATGCCCACCTGGTGGATTAAGCAAATAAGTGAGATTCAAAAGATCTAAAAAATGTTGAGATGGTGCATAATTTTGGGTGATTTCGAACTTAAAAATAGTAGTAAGAGTGAAAATTTTCGGATTTTGATCAACGATAATTTTGATTGATTTAATGAGGGAATAAATATTTAGGGACGAGTTTCCCAAATATTTGCTCCTTCATTAAATCAATTAAAATTAAAAAAATGAAATGAAAGGATAAGAGAATAAACAAACTCTGAAGAACGATCCTGGGAATCGTTGGATTGGCAATAAACCAGTGAATTATTGAAGATTGCAAGGACAGTATCATCGTTGTTGCTTGGGTATAAGGGGTGATATATTATTTCTTTAACAACAACATGACATCGGAAAGTATACACATCACGTCGAGTCCGCCTGTTGCGTAGTTAGAAATATTTTTAGCTTCGTTCATCGTGCCGTATCTTTCCGTATGCACACGCACACACACACATTATACACACACAAACACATATATATATATATATATATATGCACATGCTTTTTTGGAATATTTTTTAAAATATATTTGTAACGAACTTATTTGATAAAGTGTGAATCTGTCAAATCTACAGTCGATTAGAAGGTACACTGAGATACCATAGCAATGAACAAATCATTTGACACGAATTTTATGTTGGCTAAAAAATATTTTGGAGTCGAATCAGTGATTGAATTTTCTGTTGAAAGTTGAGCATAATAAAGAATGCTTGAAATAATGGAAATAATACAAAGATAATTTGATATGGTTCTTCTTAGTGGAGAAAAGAGTAAAATGACCATATTGGCAGTTATTTAATTCTCAATCAACCATATCAAATATCATTTGATGGAACAAATATTTTAAAATGCTCACATTTCATTAGGTTGTAATAAAGGCACATTGATAATAAAAGAATATAACAGCGGTATTATCAAAGAAATGAAATCCAAAAAAGTCAAATAAAGTCTTTTGTTTACAAATCATGAAAAAAAATACTGGTCATCAAAATGCACATTTTGTTTGCTCGAAACGTAGGAGTATGCTAATAATGTATTGTTCTATGATAACAACTTTAAACTTGAAATTCAAAACGTTCAAATCTTTGTTTAGACACTTCAAATTTTAAAATAAGAATAGCAATTTAACAAGAAGCAAACGCCAATAACAATTATTTTATACCTTAGAGTGTATTTACGGAACAGATGGATTATTAATTAGCTAGCAGAAAAGAAAGCTTTGAGTCAATTAAATTATTCTTTTTGCATCCGTTGTGAATAAGGAACATTTGCATTTTTCAAAATGAGAAGACAAAACCATGGAACGGTGTGCATTGATACGACTAACGACGAAACTTGTATCCTCAACAACAACAACAACAAAAAAAAAAAACTTCCAGTAAATTATTTGCTCGTTGTATTGGCATGATAAATATTAAGTAACTACAAATATATGTTGTTTTCAGCTTATCGTTATGAAATCCAACAACTTCCTGCTCTCCATTTCTTTTGCATTTCCTCTCGTTCAATGTGTGATGTTGATAATTTTAGTGGAAGTATCAGTGAACAGGTGTTTAAGAACTTTAACAACACTCCACCATTCTTTCTTGCGATTTCGTTTAGAAAATAGCACCCAACGTAAGAAAAAAAACTCACTCGTTGCTGCTCAACATTTCTTTTCACTGTTAATTGTGTATGGTTGCCAACAATAAATATAATTCAATTTATTCCTGGCTCGTCACTCATTTATCAAAATTCTTCGCTGATACATATATAACATGCGTATATGTATCCCATACATACAGAAACACACACACTCATAGATACACACACACACACACACACACATATACTCATGGATATGATATAGCTAACATTCCCAATTCTTACTTTCATTTCTTTCACCATGTTACCTGTACGATTCCTTATCCCAATTCCACCTAGATTCATGAACTTTAAAAAGAAAATCAAATTTGGCTTGAAATGATTTTTCCTTATAACATTTCATCTCCTTTTTTTTGAACAAATTAAAATGAAAGAAAGGTGGAACAGAACCAGAAAGCAAATTGTTCAATTTTAAATTTCAGCTACTCCATTAACAACAGAGCTGATATCACAATGAACATTCAGGATTGCAACGCATGTTTCTTCAAGCTGCAGAAATCATTTAGCTATAGGTAAAAGCTACTGGAAAAATAAACCTTTCAGTCAACTTCATAACAATGTGATTCATCCTAAAGGAAGTACATAGTTCATAATAAAAAGTTTCGGAAGTTGTCAAATTGGTTCCTCTTTCTGTCTGCTCCTTTATCTTCGTCTGGTCATCTTTTAAGACATGGTTATTGCTGGAAGAACTGCCCTTGGAGAATGATGCGAGGAGAAAAAATCAGATAACACTTCCTTCTTTGCCTCTAAAAATCCACAAATAAGGAAAAAGCGGAAGAAACGGATTGATTTCTAGATGAAATATTCATTAGATCTAATCTAAGTTACCGAGCGTCCTCCCGATATAAGGAATCATTTACTTCACTTTGACACTACTAACTAAGTCAGTCCGTTCGATCATGCAGTAAATGCTTCCAAAATATTTTCAAAGTGTGCCAATCATAGTTATTTAATGTTTCAAAGTCATTTTTCTAAAGGAAAAGATTGGAACATAGGGGAGGTTGAGCAGAGATGTTGCTAAGCGGGTTAGAGCATTTACGATTTTTAGATGCCTTTTTGAGAAGGGTTCGTAATGCCTTCGCTCACTTGTATGTTTGGATAACTAGCATTTTGAGACTCCTTACAAGAAACTTTATATGACTAGTTAAGAGATGCAGCCAGGCATGCTACATAAATGACCAGAAATCTCGATGGTTGTGATTTGAGGAACCTTTATTTTTAAAATGAGATGAATTCTTGGAAATTAGAGAAATTAGACTTGAATAATAATAGTTCATTGAGTAGCCATTCTAAAATTTGCAAGGATATTATAATAGTTGTTAGATAATTATGCTCAACAGCTGGTCACTACCATAATAGACCACAATATACAATACTGACCTTTTTGTAATAGCATCTCTTAAGCTTCTATTAATGACTTGATCTAAAGTTTGCGGAAAAATAAAAAAAAACATACTGGAAGTGGAAGCAGCAAAGAATTTAGCAATAATAAAGCTTGGGAATTTATTAGTTTTTTTAAAATGTATTTTCGGTTGGAAATTATGTTCTTCAGTTTGCTGATAAAAAGGGTGATAGAACAAAACTACTAAATGGCTATATCTTATCAAGCTTAAAGTCACAGTGTTCTGGAATATTTTTTAAGAATCGTATATTTATCTCATGCTGTTGAGGTATCAATGGAATAATTTAATATGCATTTCTGGATGTTCTCATTATTATCAGCATTTATTGTCTTTTCGATATTTCCCTCAGCGATAAGTCTTAAGATCGGTAAGTTTGTTGAAATTATGTCGTTTTAAGGGGAATAAGTTTGAAAATTTCGGCTGTATTATAAAAAAAGTTCTTGTATGTGTGAATAAATAATTCTAATTGAATTTGTTTAAATTTCTGGAATTTTTTTCTTTTCCAGCAATTATCGGTGGAGGCATTGGTGGTGCATCTTCCGCATATTTTTTGCGGGCACTTGCACCATCTGAAACCAACATTGAGATTCGCTTATTTAATCAAGGCAATATTGGAGGTATTCTCATTTTCGTTGCATTCTTTGTTGGATGAATCAAATCCTAACAGAAAGTTGACAATACTTTAAGCTAACTGATAATCAGTACTGTCATGTAATTGTTATAAGCTATAAATTTACTTACAAACGTTCTTTGTGTTATTATTATGCCTGATTCGTCTATCTTTGATTTCAATGCGTTTCCTGAACCAATTCATTGCAGACAAAGTGTCAAGCTACAATGTTTGAGGTACTCAAAAAATTTTTTTGCAAATGTTCTACTATGGTTTTTATGCAGCCTCATAATTTTATAATATATTTGGAATACGTTTTAGGGCGGCTGACAACTGTTGAGATGCAGTACAATGGCAAGAAACGCATGTTTGAGGCCGGTGGCAGTGTTTTACACCCTGCTAATCTTTATTTCAAGAACTGGATGGAGAAGTTTGGTAAGTGCTTTTAAGCTTTAGATTTTTCTGAATTGTGGGCAATAATTTCCTTCAGTAATCTTTTCTTTTCGTTGTGCAGTGGGGAAACTTATTTTATGACATAATTTAGTGAATAAATTTAGTGAATAAATTGAAAATTTTTGAATAAATTAAAAAAAGTTCTAAACAATTTTGAACAATTTGAAAAAAAAAAGTTCAGTGAACAATGAGTAAATTTAGTTACATGGTTTTAAAAATGTACCAACACAGCGTTGGGATTATCATCTTTCTCTAATCACAGGAGTAAACGGTTGCTTAAAATTTCTTCGGCTGAAATTTTATTTAATAGGATTACATAAGAATAAGCCTCATAAAAGGGGTATTATGGGCATATGGAATGGTCAGGAATTTGTGTTCCTGAAAAGTTCATGGTATCTCATCACGTTTTACCGACTGCTGAAAAGATACGGTTTTGATCAATTGAAAAGCCATTTTGAAATCAGAAGCCTTTTGTCGGATTTCGAGAACATTTACGCTATGCTGGAGTAAATTTATTTCTCTTCTACAAATAGTTTCTCAAATCCAGTTAATTATTTTTATTCGTATCAATGCTGGGAATGAGTGATAATGCTTCCATAGCCAAACTTTTTACCATTTGATTTGTTTCATTTACTGATTGGGGCATTGTTAGATATTTTGATTAGCCAGGGTAGATCGTTTGATACTGCGGATGCAATGGTAATGGCAATGTCAACCCATCTTTCAAAATTGGTAAATATGACAATGGAAGAGAATCTTGCTGACAGTGGATATCATTATCCATTTATCACGGAATTTGCCAATGCAGCACTTAACTGTAATTATGGACAATCTGTTAAGGTTCAACTTCCAAACTTCTAGTGATTCAAATTTTATCACAAAATCATTAGTGCTTTACATATTAGTAACTGTCTTTTCCAGTTTCCTTCATTATATATTCTATTAATATAGAATATAGTTTCCTTCAAAATGAGTTTCCTTCATTATATATTCTATTAATATAGAATATATAATGAAGGAAACTCATTTTTATATTCTCTTCATTGTTTATGGGAGTGATACTTTAATTAAATTTTTATATTCTCTTCATTGTTTATAGGAGATTAGAGCTTTTGCGGGGTTTGTGGGACTATCTGGGTCTGTATCTGGGCTTTACTCGGTTAATGGCTCGAATAAAATTATTGTCGAGAAACTGATCGACTACTCGAAAGTTAAACTGATTAAGTAGGTGTTTCTAAGTAGAATCTCTTCATTTCTTTACATGGAACTGTGAGTAAAATTCCATAAATGCTAACCTGCCACAGTTAATAGTCAAATAGGATATTTTTCGGATTATTGTATGCTGAAGTTTAGTCTTATTATTTTAGAGCGGAAGTGACCAGCATTTCCAAATGGAATGACCAATTTGTGTTATATGGAAGTGATGGCCAGGAGCTTGACGCTAATTATAGTTATGTCATTATTGCTGTGCCTTTACATCAAAAGCAGCAAATTCAAATAGAAGGTTATTATGCTTTTGTTTTATGGCGAAGTATTTTTTCTATCCGTTTTATATGTACGATTATTTTTTGAAACAATCGAATTTCGTATTAAAAGGCAAAGAAGAGTTTTTTTTAGTCTTACTGTTTTTTAAACCTTCTTCTAAGAAGTTGCGATTTGGTGAGACTTTTGTGTAGTTGAAAGTGCTTCATTTAGATGTAAATTGGGAAAGCCAGCGAGGCAATTTCAAACAAATTATCGCAACGTTTGTGGAGGTTCTTTTTTGGATCATTCCTATCACATAATTATATTTTTGTACAATTCCTGCAATCAACATGTGGAAAAAAGTTGTGATGAAATGATGTCCCTTAATATGTTGCTTATCCTCGTTTAAATCCATTTTGCTGTTAGTGTAAGTCCTAGAACCTCCGGAGGCAACCTATTTTTGTACGCATTATTACGGAGAAAATGCGAGAAACTGTCACTCAAAAAATAGAAATCAGAAATTTAATTTTTGCAGGGATCACTGCGCGCAACACACTGGTCATTGCCTAAGAGTTATATGTTGACTGCAGTAATTTCGTGCAACAACAGTTTGTCATACAATTCAATAGGTAGATTTATTTGCTGTTTATTCACAATGAGAAGGTTATAGTACTTAATTTTCCTCATATACTCAATGTCGTTTCAGCACAGATTTTACCTGTTGATGAAGAAGATGAAGGAAATGAATCCTTGACGAAAGCGGATTCAAATAAAATATGGAAAATATTTTCTAGCAAAAATCTAACTGACACAGTGTTGTCGCTGTACTTTAGTAAAATCAGAAATGTTAAAAGGGTGAGATAATTTGATATTTCCTTTTGAAACATACCGTGAAAATGTATTAGTCTCAATTTTCGTAATCTTAAAGTTTTCAACTTTTCCTTTCGATTGGTATGCGATTTTTAGGTTTCATTTCTGGCATACCCAGAATACAAGAAATATCCTGCTGACCGTCCTAAATTCCGTGTAACGAAAAATATTTGTTTCGTGAATGCAGTGGAATGGTTAGCAAGTACTATCGAAATGAGCGCGATTGGTGGTCGTAATTGCGTTAACATGCTTTTAGGTGATTTAGAACTTATTGGAATTAATAAAACTATAAAAACGGAGCTGTAAGAAATTTAGAATTAGAAGTAGGCTTATCAAGAATTTATGTTATCAGCAGCTAATTTGCAGCATTATGTAAATTACATAAGCATAGTGTCTGCTACGAAGAGTATTACTGTTAATTGCATACAGAAGTAGCTAAAATTGCTCAAGTTCAATAAAATTCTATTCTTTTGTTTAAGTAAAGCAGCATATTTGCCCGTCGCAGAATATTCCCATAATCTCTCTCTTTTGAAGATTGAGCAATGGGTATCGTCCCTTATTCATTGCTATACATTAAAACATTCAACTTGAAAAATCATACATTCGAAATGATTTTATCGCATTCCTCTCAAAATTTGCTCCCTCACGCAAATGCACAATGAATTGCACCGTTAAAAGACGAGTAAGAAGATAATCTAAAATAGTAGAAGAGATAAAAGTATGTAAACTTCATGTCATAAAGAAACTTTTAATTTATAAATCATGAAGTCTAGTGAACATTTCTTCATAATTGATGGAATCACTTATCACCAATTCACATAGAAGGATTTAATGAAAATTAAGTGATGGTGCAAATTCAACAGAGAGAGTAAGGAACAAAATATAATTTGCAAAATAAAGCGTAGTTTTGGATTCATCATGGGAAATATATGTTTCATAATGTAAAAGTACAAGCATATCATGAATTCAAACTCAAAAACTGCAACGGAATGCGAATCTCGATGATCAACTATAACTTGGGTAATTGTGTTTCCACTCTTTCGGATGTTCAGTACAAACAGATGTACAGTCCATCAACAACGTTATTTTTGGACTCATTACGGGAGATATTACCTTTCATCACCTCACATCTTCCTGGCGGCAACAATGCCATATCCAAACAGATCTGAGTTCCTTTGCGTGAAATGAACATTCTCTTAACCGTTACGGTAATATCATTAGTGACTTTACTGTTTACCAATTCTTAAGAATTTAAGAATTTCGCCGATACCTACATCCTCTTCAATTACAACACTTTCTCTGCTTCACTCTCAATCACTACTTCTATTACCACAAAGCAAATACTGCCTGACTACCGCTAGCTCACCCCTCTCACTGTCATCTTTGGCATCCGCAGAAACGCGGCAATCGTTAAATTTGGGGAGTAAAGCAGAGTTATTTGACGTAACTGTTGAGCTAACGTCTGTCGCTTTTCACGTTGCCCGTTTCAACCATACTTGTGCTTTCGTTTGTTGCTTGTGACGACGTTGAGGTGACATTTTTTCTATTACATCTGGAGCAGATTTTTGCAACTAATTGAGAAATTTTTTTGGGAATATATGCTTGTAACGGTTGGAGAGATTGAAAAAGGAGTGATAAAGATATTATGGTTGGTAGTAACAGCTGCCAATAAAATGTCGGATATTGTAAAAACTGAGGGAATATCAGAATTAATATAGGTGTTAAGTGATGAGGTGCGAATAGAACAGAAGCACAATTATGACTGTTCCTTTCCCGATATTGGTGGAATATTTATAGCAGCAATCAACAGTGATAGCAGCCTCGCTTAGATCATGTCAGTATTTTTCTTTCATATTGAAATTTTGTGAAGTATGATTTCGTGGTGATTTTTGACCAGTATCGTTATTTTATTAATCATATTGTATATGCTGGTAGACGCAACAATTTTTGTTGTTGAAGGAGTATGCTGTGACTGCTGTTTATTTGTTATGGAGTATGATTATTTGTCTTGAATTTTCACTTTCATGACTTTCAAGGTAATGTTGAGTAATTGAATTATTTCCCTATTTACTCATTACGGAATCTATTGCAGAAATGACTGTAAAGAGTTGGGACAGCATGCGATGGGGCAAATGGTTCGTTGTTGGTGGAGCATGTATTGCAAGTGGTGCTGCTCTTTGGTGGTATTTTCGAAAACAAGCCATAAATGTAAGTTTTGATTTGGAGTTTTCAGACGCCTTTTCCAACGATGCGAGTGAGAAAACGTTATAATGAAGTTGTGTATGTTTGTGTTTTAGTTACCTCCTATTATCATTTCCAAGTTTAGTCTCGACATAAGATTGTGATATTGGAAGGTGGGAGGTTTACTTAATTGCTGCTCTTACATTTAAATGCTTCCCATATGACATGTTCTTCCATCAGAGATTAGATGAGCAAAAAAGGACAAGATAGGCAAAAAAATTAAGAATATCACTCCTTTTTTGCATAGTTCAAATTTATTCACGCTGAGATTTTAAAAAAAAATGGATATTCGTATTTAATTACTGTTCATTTTGCAGGCAACTAACAGTTCAAAAAGTGGCGTTCGGCCAACTGCTTCTGTTGCTCCATGTCCCGTGCTTTTTCCAGGTATTTTGGGAAGTAACCGTATAGTGTTAATTTTCTTGTCTCTGATTCTAAACTTAAATCTAAAAAGAGGTTGATGTAAAATATAAATAATGTTTCAGGAATGCAAAGTTCAAAGGAGGTAAAGGATAAGGGCAATGAATATTTCAAGCAATGCTCATATAGGAAGGCTACTGAAGCTTTTACAGAAGCTATCAATCTTTGTCCACTAGAGTACAAAAGTCATCTTGCTGTATGCTATCAAAATCGGGCTGCTGCCTATGATAGACTGGTACGATTATGATTATAGCTGTAATTAATTTTGGTGATGGAATGTGAGTCCTTTTTTACCAGTTCTGCTTATCTTAGCAGCATGTTGCGAAGTATTTTGCTGATCATTACCTTTGGTTCCTTATACTTTACTTTCGTAAAAGAATGTAATTTTAGGGAGATCCGGAGAAATCAGTCATGGATTGCACGAAGGCATTGGAGCTAGACCCACTTTATTTTAAGGCCGTAGTGCGACGAGCAAAAGCATATCTATCACTCGGTAGGCCGGAGGAAGCGCTAGATGGTATATATTTTTTTATTTATAGCAATTTTTTTGCTAACGCATGTTTTTTTTGCTATTCTCTTGTAGACATTTTATGGTCTAAAGGATAAAAGTCTCCAGTTCCATTCCTCAACAGAAGATTCTTGCGCTTTCTAATTCTAGAGCATAGTGCGAATTTCTACTTTAAACGCATTATCATCTGCTTCAAAAATGGATTTACTATAATTATTTTTTCAAAATGAGAATAGATCTTGTTTTTACAGATCTTACCTATGCTTTCGTCATGAACCCAGAAGCGTCAGAATCACTTAAGACGGATGTTGATAGTGCAGTTGCACTTGCTGCTGCCAGTTTGGTTGAACACGTAGTAAGGCTTTGTCTCCCTTTTATGAATTCAGTCATTCAATTTTTTTACAGATGTAAAAATAACCATTAAATTATGATGAAAATATTGATAACGTACACATTAAGCATGTAAAATATGGAGCATCACAGTGGGTCATTTGGGCAAAGAGCTCATCTTGCTGGCATCTTTTAATAATGGTGGTTTTTTTAATTTTATCAAGTACGCTTTATGCTTTATATTCATAGTTTATCTTTATATGGTCACAAAAATATTTTAAAATCTCCAGAAGAATACACGGGAATCCATACCAGTAAGAGACGAGTTAGTGCTGTTGTGGCGTAGTTCGTATGTCAATGACCCAATATTACATGATTTGAAAGAAGAATTTCATTCTGTCAGGTATGAATTGACTTTTGGATATTGTTAATAGTCTTTAGTTACAAATTTAATGGGAGGTAAGTAGTAAAGATAGCATTATTTATTGTGATGTATTAATATCGTTATTTTGGAGTCATTTAATGTTGGCAAGTTATAGTATGTGTGTTTTTTATTGAAAATTATCTCGATGTTCAGTGTTTGGTGTCAGGCAATCAATTACTTGACATAAAACAGTTGATAAAGTCACTCGGGACAAAGTCATTTAGTATTTCATTTTAAAATGTAGTTTTCTAAAAATTATGGCAAGTTGGACTTGGATTAAGGAAGAGTTTAAGTCATGTAAGTCTACTTGAGCTTAGAGAGATGCATTTTTGATACCAGAAATCATAATGCCGGCACGAATTCTTAGTTTTGCGCATATTTTTTAATGCATATTTGCAGTCCATATCATCAAGCACTAGAAGCAATACGGCGGAGGCATTACGAGGAAATTATACCTCTTATTGAAGATGATTTAAGGATACAGCAGTCAGATCCAAATCACTTAAATGTTACTTTTATTCTTCGTGATTATATACTTCAGGCACGTTTTGCTCTGATGAAAGAAAACATAACGGTTAGTATCATTTCTACTCTTATTTATGTTTATGTCAATACTTAGACCGTTTTCATTTCCCATCGTAAAATATTCATCGCAAATTCAAGAGCATCATCAGGAGAATGTTATGAATTTCTTATCTTCTGGCAGTTCAGCTAAATTTAACTGATAATTTTTACTTTGTTGTGGTTCACTGATATTTTAAATTTACCCACAATTATCAGTAAAGCACAGCAGCTGTATTGTGCGATGCCATATTTTCTCGCAATAAGACATAAAATCTCCTACCAATTTCTTACTGCTGTTTTGGAGATAATAATGATAGGATAAAGCTGCTCGACCGTTTTGTATCATTTCTTATTATTTTTTAATATATTTTTGTGTCATGTTCGTACACAAAAAATAGTGACCTGTTATACGACTCGATTGCTTGTCAATCCTGGTTCTTGATTTAGAAAAAATTCCGTGATACCAGTCATCGATTGTTTGGTTTTATCCATTAGCTGGCCATTTTTCGCTAATTTATTAAGCGTATTCTATCCTATAATTGCAGTTACTGAAAGAAAGCTTAGCAGCTTTTGACAATATGTGGAATACGTTGAACGAAGATTCTCGCTGTGAAGTGACCAATAAACGTTTTCGGTCAATGTATCACATTTTGCTTGCTGCCTGGAAAATTCTTGAGCGCTGCAGCGATATTGAGAGGTGCGTTCTGCTTTTTCAGATATTCAACTACTTGAGGAAGAATGATATCTGGAATATAAGCTTCATTCCATTTTTAATTGCGTCTCAATTATAGGCCATTAAAAAAGTTTTTTCATGAAGAACTTCGTCTTTTCTTTATGCATTTCCAGGTCTAGCGTTGCCTGAGTAGAAACAAATCATAAAACTAGGGATTGGGAAGTGTCAGATGAATAATCTATGTGATTAAAGTTGATTTCATTACTGCAGTGAATTCAATCATGCCGTCGAAATTGATCAGACGAATGTTGATATTTATTTGGGTGCCGCTTTACTGTTATCTGAAAATGGGCAGTTGCAAGAAGCAATCGATTATTTAGATCAGCTTAATAAAATTGATCCAACACATCATCTGGTCAAGTATGTTTCTTCCATTTATATTTGACTTCGTGTTGTTGTGAATTCTTCTTAGTCGTTAATCTCCTATTTTGTCCCTTGTGACATTTCGTTTTTTCGAAGTTCATATGATTTCTCAGTTCATATTTAATTGTTGTATAATTCAAGATAGCTTTTATTTGAGGCATATGAGAGCAAACTGCAAAATGGCTTTGAAAGCTTCAGTGGGTGATGTGGGAGGTGCTGTGGCGTGTATGGCAAAAGTTGATCAGCTTCTACAAATGAACCAAAATGCAGATCCAGTGCTTTACCTCATCACTGGACGGGTTTGTTGTCTCTTTTTCTTTACACTTCACTAAAATTTCGTGGATTGTGGAAAATATGCATATCCATAATTGGGCAGTGAACGAGCATTTTTTACTTGGAATTATTTATCATTTTAATGCATAATAAATTTTTTGCAATTTGCGTCTGCAAAAGTTTGTGCACAGTAATTATTTCAGCTTTATTACGCAGCTCAAAATAAAGAATTGGCGAAAGCTTCATTTAAAAAAGCTGCTGAGGGTATTCCTGATTATGCTGCACCGATGTTTTATCTTGCGTAAGTTTTATGAACAATTTCAGGTTGTAACACTATTTTCTTCTTAAGTAGAAAAAGCACGTTATTTTTTTCACAAATGTATTTTGTTTTGTTTCTTCTATTTTTGATCTGTTTCTTTTAGAATGGTAGAAGCAGAAGAGATGGAAGGTTCTGCGAATCAAATGGCCGTATTGGAGTCGAAAATGAAGATATGTTTGGAAAGAGAAAAGGCCAATCCAGATGCTTTGGCTATTCTAGCAAAAATAGCATTTCAAAGGTTTGTATGGTATTTGTATTAATACGTTTTTTTTTTTCTTAAGAAGACCGAGAGAGAGAATCTTCAAATTTTTGTGTGAATTCTTGGTTATTTAATACAACTTGTTTTACGAAGCTTTCGTGGCTGCATAACTGACATGAACTCCATATAAGAAATTATCACGATGCATTGATTTAGCGTGTAATCATTTTAATAATACACCGCTGTTCATTTATTCATTTTTCAGGCAGCAACTTGATGAGGCTTTGCGTTTATATGAACAATGTATTAAAGTATGTCCTGTTCATACAAATGAAGCATCGCTTCTTCCAGCTGTAACAGATTACGTGCAAATACGTTCTTTGCGTAAAGCAGTTGAAACATTGCAACGAACTACTGCACCGCCAGTTGATGCATCATGTAGTGTACGTTAGTCGTTTTTTGGGCTCTTTTATACTTTCACTGTTGCAAAACACAAAACTATTGACATTTGGGAATTTCTGTCATTTTTAGCAGATTGCTACTTAAATATTTATATCTAATGGAAACTCTTCACTTTAATTTCCTTTTGAAACGAAATTAGCTCACTTTTTGAACCTGGTTGATGTGAACCTCAGTGTCGTTGGAGGGACCTCTAGCTAGCGCTTTTTTTTTAGCCGAATATTTAAGATTTTGGACACTGGATGATGTAAGACGGACATATTGATGCCTAGACATTTCGTTGTTTTGATATATTTTTTTAAGAATTGAAATTATAACTTAATACCAGTTAGTATCATATTTTAATGGACTGTCTACATTCCTTATAGTATAGGATTGTATTATCAGGACATCTATGGTGCAGAGGTTTTTGTATTTTGTTTCTGTTTTATTTTCTTTTTTAGGGCTGATTGGTGGATTTACATGCTATATGAGTTCTTTGTTTTGTTTTCGTAATGGTAATGATTCGCTCATTGTACCGATATTGTCTTGTCATTCTTTTTTTTGATAAAATCTATGCAGACCTTGCTTACGTTACAGTTTATTTTGAAAGTGATCTGACACAGATTGATAGATTCTATCTCTTTGATTGCAATCTAATATTTGGCCTGCAATGGTTCATCTTGACAGCTGTATGACGTGTCAAGAATACTGTATACTTTTTTTTATTAGATTCAGTTTCTAAAATTTAAGTATGAACACTATGGCAGCGCATGAGAGATTGTTTTGTTCTGAATTAAGTGTGGTGCAGTTGTTTGACCCTTTTAAAGGAAAAAAATTTTTGTCGGAACTTTATTTAGCCTCGAATTATTCTCGAAACAGTCGTTTGTCCTTATTGCCGAAAAAAAGGCGACTGGTGGTTCGGATTCAAGTGACAGTGTAGATCAGTTTAATGGGACCGACATCGTTTTAGATTTACAATATTACAACGATTCGAAGTGTCACGTCATTTTATCAGAAGAACAAGGGAGTGGCGTTTTAAAGGCCGTTGACCGACAAACATTCGTAAGACCTACTAAAAGCGAGAGATGGATGCACTTCATTGCTTTTCAACTTAAATTACTTTCAGGTATTTGACAAGGAAAAGAAAGCGTCAGGAGTGAGTGACCGCCCGTTAGAAAATGCGATGTAGGATTATGAAACTGGCTTCTAAAAGAGCAAAATAGTTTTTGATTACCTGAATATATTTTATGAGTCCTTATATTTATGAAAGTCATGGAATTTGTGCCACGGGAGACGGTATGTGGACATCAATATTTTGAATTTCAAATTAAAGGGTTGGCTCTTCAGTTATTTGAAGTAATTCATTAATATTGATTACGCATTAAACTGGGTATAGCTTAATAGGTGGTCAATAATTAAAATTTACGAGCAGTGACACTTACTCATTATGTAATGGCTATATAACAAATCTTAAATAATTCCAATGGGATTATTTTCCCACAAAACTATGTCATACATGTGGCATTGATTTTGAACTTTTCAAGAAATTTTGAAATATCCCTATCATTATGGATATTACAATTTGTTGAATACAACAACGACATAAGTTTCGGGTACGGTTTGATAAAATTAATATAGGCTATAATAATAATTCCGGTTTCAGAATTCCCTGCTTGAAGCTCCAGCATGGTTGTTTACGTGCAAATCTAACGGCGATTTTAATCGCGATAAATCCAACGGCGATTTTAATCGCGATAAATCCAACGGCGATTTTAATCGCGAAAACATTAATGTAATTGGTTCTTGATTGGAATGAATAAAACTAGATATGACTGGTCTCGTAAAACACGATAATGTAATAAAAGCCTTTATCAACTGAGACAGAATCGATTTCAGAATAAGAAAAGAGAAAAGTTTGGTACGGACGAAGTTTCGAAACTTTTCTCACTGAGAGCATTGATAGCCTTAGGAAGCAAATCTCACTCACTAAGGTAGAAGTTAATGTATCCAATAGTACTTTTCTCCACCGATATTTGATCAACCGGCCAATCGATTGTTGCAAAGGAATAATCATCTCTGATTTGTTACCCCAAATCACATGCGTAATGGCTTGTAAAAAAGTTTCTTAGATCATATCTTTTCTCCTTCTTGGCGACTCATTCAATAAACAAAATTATTTAAAAATATCTGACTAAATAATTTCAGCAAGCTTGGATTTTATAAGAAAGTTGGTTAAAACATTCGGTATTCTTCTGAGATTTTAAAATCCTAAATTTTTAAAACTCTGTTCTTCATTGTTTATCTTACTCTTGGCATTTATGATTAGTGAGAAGCATCATAATCCAAAAAATTGAAACTTTTGGTATGGCTACTATCTGTTAAGGAATAAATGGGATGGCAACATTTGACAACTGACTTCGAGTCTTACATCTCTATTACGACAGTGGGATGATGTGAGCAAGACGGATAACCGGTTCTTTCTATCCATGATGATAATGATGAATGGCGATATTGACAATGATGAGATAACAATGTTTGACTCAGGAATGTTTGGCAAATGCGACACATCCTATCTGTGAATACCACTACATCCAGTACACCACCTTATCCCATCTCATCTTTTAGTTAACTATCCGGAAATTTCCAGAATATTGTAGTAATGTTGGATGATGACTGATACCTATCTCCATATATATATGTATATATACATGTATGTATGTATGTATGTTTGTGTGTGTGTGTGTGTGTGTGTGTGTGTGTGTGTGTTTATATGTGTGCTCTTCTTTCGTCTGTATACAGTATGTATGGTTGAATAGTTATAGTTGACAGCAACCGCCATTTTCAAAAATTTTGTCCAGTTGTCATGATTGCCAGTTGAGGTGACAATTCCGACGAATTATTTCGTCGTCGCAAACAAATACCAACTGTACACGGCCCTATCAAACAAACCGCACAGAGCAATGACAGCGGCGACGACATCTGCGATGATAGTAATGAGAAATTACAAAACAACCCAATCGACTTCGAAATCACTACTTTAACAATTCACAACTTGTTTTAATATCAGGTATCCTCCCGCCTACCTCACACACCAATATTCAACCACACCACCCCGCGGTATATCTTTCTCGCTTTTCCTGCCATCGTTCTCTGCTGCTATCATCGTCAATTTTGATTTATTCAAAATTTCCACCCACAAAGTCACAAAGGGCCATCAACTCCTCACACTGTCCTCTCTCCTAACAGTTCCGCATGTCATTTATGTTACTTACACGATATTTCACTGTGTTCCTATATATACTTTTAAAATGATTAAACCAGACTCTGGTAAATGGACATATCCTTACTTCTTGATTCATCTGACTGATAGGAATTCCATTTTCTGTTGAGCGTTCAATTCCTCGTCATGTGTACACATTTTTCATTGCCTTTGAATTTCCAGTCTGGTATTCTAAAATGTAAAATAAGCGCCTCAAAATATCTGCCTCTGCCATTTAAAAACACAGCGCCGATTTCGCTTAGAGCTTTAATTCTAACCTACCAAGGACGTTAGCTTCAAAATCAATTCTTTTGCTTAAATTTCATAATTGTGAATTACTGCGAATGTCCATAACCATTAAATGAATGATACAGTTCGCCATGCCTAATATTGTTCACATTCCATTACAAAACATATAGTATATTTTTCACTCGTTAAAAAGTTTTTCTTCTCTTTTTTCTAAAAGTCGAAGGGAAAAAAATCCTAGAAGAACGAGTTGGGTAAGACGTTCAGTAAAGAATCATTGCAAAAGAAGTAAAGTCGGCACAAATTAACTTGTGGATAACAATTTTTCTACTGCTTTATACTAAGAGAGAAATTGTTTCATCGAACTTATTAACTAACAAAGTTAAATTTTCAGTGTGATAAAATTGTAGCCATGGGAATGAATTCTCTTTTGAGCCGAACACTGTCAGATGATACCGAAATATTGAATGAAGTGAACAATGTTCCCGAATCAAAGTCTGCAATTATCCGAAATTCTGATGGTTAATTGATATTCCTTTCGAAATATTAAAGTCTTCAATTCCACATCACACATTCCGTATCATACATTATGATTTTCTTTTCTTCTACAATAATTAGAAAGATGCCGAAATCATAAGTTTACGTTAAACGCATCCTTTTTAAATCTGTTATTCAAATTTTCGTTCTTCTGATAAATTAAAAATTTGAAAAATCTTCGAATTCAGAGGAGAGAATGATTTCTTAATAGGTGCCTTAGGCGGCTTTGTATCAATGATCAGTTATGGGACAAATCAAGCCTACTGTATGGCAGTTCAAATCGATCAATCCATCGGTGATAAATACATCAGCATCAAACCAACTGATGACCCGCAGTGTTTTCAAATCATCGATGTCCAGGCCTGAGTTTTTATCTATTTTGCGATGTCCGGGCTTGAGTTCTTATCTTTGGATCTACGATGCAAATTAATACTTGTAATATACCATGCCTGTTTGAGAGGAAAATTGGACAGCAATACTAGAATTACATTTTTGTTGCTAATTCACCTTATTTGTTAGTTAAATATTTTATTCAAGCACTTATTTTTCTTTTTCAGGATGTAGCTGAGGATCTGAGTCTGCAACCGATATTTATACAGGTGCATCATAATCCCAAAGGACGCTTACCCTTACAGCATCTGATTGATCATGCTGCTGAAAGGTCGTCTATTTTAATTTGGAAGAATGTATTAGTTTTCTTAAAATGAAATACTACAATAATTTAAAAATAACTCAGGAGTTTTTCATTTTTTCAAAATCGTGCAAATGAGTGTTTCAACAGTCTTATTTTCATGATATTTATTTAAATTTATGCCTCTGATTCGACTAATTTTTCTATTCTGTTGAAGGATCACAATATAGTTTTTTTCTTGAATATTTTATACTTCAATTGGTTATCGCTTAGAACTAAATTTGAAGTTTGGAAGAGAAGGAAATTTATGCTCAGGACTATTTGAATTATGGAAATACTTCCTCCCAATTCAATTTCCTCAAAAAATTCTCAACTGATGTTTTAGGATGTTGGGACGACTCAATCTCGATTTGAAAAAAAACGTTACCGTTGATCTGACTGATAACGATGATATGAGCATTTGGAGGGATAAAGCTGGCTTCGTTGTTAGAGACAAAATGCAACTATGTGAGCTCACTGTCAATAAAAATGAATTTCAGAAGACTCTTGAAATGGTGAAAAGTAAGATTTTTCAAATTCTTTCATAGGAACTGCGAAATCTTGAAAGATTTTGAAAGTTTTAGAGTAGACAAAAAGCTATATTGTCAACCAGCATTGTAGTCATATTCCGATAACGCTCGTCGTTATATCGCTGCTATCAGCGTTGAGAATTAGCATGTTTTTATTTGTTACTTTTTTTTTGAATATATTTCATTTCTTATCATACAATATCTCTGGAGTCACAGAAGATTATGATCTATAGTTACCGATAAGGAAATTCCAGGGTATTTTCGCGAAAGAGTACATTTTAATAAATCACGAACTTGCTTTTTTGTCTACATTAGGGAAAATTCCAGGGTATTTTCGCGAAAGAGTACATTTTAATAAATCACGAACTTGCTTTTTTTGTCTACATTAGGACAGAATTATAATTTTACATTTCTATTTGGTTCCCAAATGAGAGGAACTTGAAATTTTGTCGATCAAGCCAATTTAACATTCGTTTATAGGCGTAAAATAGTAGTGCTTCAGCAATTTTTCCCAAAAATGCAAGAGAGGTACTGATATTATTGATCCCAATATATATATATGAAAAGTTCCACTTACTTTCCGAATAGATTATATTACAAATTCTATCGTTTTGAAGTGTTATTGTTTTGCATTAAAGAAATGACGAAGATTTTCGTGCAATTTAATGCGGTAAAAATGGAAAAGTTCCATTACTGTTTGTTGGAGAACGAGCTATAAGTTTAGCAGGTTAAGGTTGGTAGTGTTCATCACTTAAAGTATGTTATTACACAGATGGAAGCGATTGTATGCTTTCATTCCTTGTCTTTCATAATTAAGAATTCATTCCAGTATATTTATAGTAGCAAACACAAAATGATCAAAATCAATTTTTCAAATATTAGCTTTCGTTGCTCGATGAACGGGAAAGGTTTTTTACGATAGATGATTGTAAATATTGTAAATATTATTGCCTATGACAGTTCTGGATATTTTGTTTCAAATAATCATTACCAATAACTAATCAAAGAAAATGTTGATGTTGTATTAACTTGGAAAAAAGGAAATTAACAAGTGGTCTTAATTGACTACTTGCAGGAAAAGAGTAAAGATTAGAACAAAAGTGTGCAAGTACCGGAAAATGGAAAAGAGCTTATAAAAATTATTTTACCTTCTAGACGTAAAAATTTCTGCATTCGATGGCTCACAAATGGAAAACCTCGTGAAATTTGATAAGGCAGTGGGCAGTGTAGATCGCAGTAAATTTCTGGAATACATCTTCAAAAATGCAAACGTACGTTTTTGTGATGATTTTTACCTGGACGAGAAGCACTAATGTATAAATTATATTATAATATTGCACATGTATAAATTATATTATTTGTATAGCAATAAAGAAGAGAACGTTCGTGCAGTGAAGAACCTGCATGGAAGAACAATTTGAACAAAAACTTTAACTAAATACAAGTAATTTTGTAAATTATTTACAGTCTTAAAGCTATGTCTTACAAATTATGTTCGCTCAGGTATTGATTGCTGAAAACGAAGAGACATCAGCAGTGGATGGTTACGGTGTCTTCCGAGAGGATCGTATTATTGCGGTTTACGCTAATGCCAAGGATACTGCTCATTCCATCGTGCAAGAAATACTCCGGACAATGAATCATAACGAGGTATTACTGTATATTTGAAGTGGATTTGATAATTTATACTTTTTATTAAAAACAATTACTGATAAAAAAGAATTAGCGTTCAAGCAAACCTATTGGCGACTTATATCCTTCAGTTACTTATAACAGTTAGCGTATTTCTGATAGCTTACTGGCCTTCTAGTTAATGCAACGAATTTTACACGTACAGAACAGTTTAATGCCATAGGAAGCAAATCATTGCCAACTGAAAGATGAAAGGACTTTTGACATTTGTTAACGGTCATATATGTAAGTTAAGATCAAATGTTAATTTATCTGCGAGTTAATATTTTAGTCCTCTAAAACGATAATTTCGAATGTGTTTTAAGATAAAGTTATGTACGATACGGAACCGCTGGAGCATTGAACACAAGCCAAATACTTGCTGCAAACAGATCATTCGTCTTCACACGCGTGTACCACTGACAGGCATCATGTGGAACCGAATATTTATTTTAAACGCGGGCATGAACTTGATCTGAGTATTAGATGATACAAATGAAATACAGCCATATTTTCATCGAATTGCTCATTTGAATGTGCGATGTACAAGCAGCATTTTCGCGTATTTGTATATCGTACATTCATATTTCTTTCAACATAACTACGAACAATTTTGATTGAATCTTCAAGATTTTGATCTGCCATATTTAAAAGTAGCACCGGCCATGTAAAAACATATTTCCTCCTCAGTCGTTCTAAAGCACTCTTATTCCTAAATTTTTGATGACATTTGTAAACGCATGTGGGACAATTTAATAAAATTTACTGCTTTCCAAACATTTAGAGCATTTCTCAATCTCATGAGTATAATCCATGGAATTATCAAATCATAAATAATGCAAAAGAAAAGTTAAATGAAGGACAATATTCGAATAAGTTATAAAAACGATGTGCCAAGAAGTACTTTTTATACACTATTATGACACATTTCCAGGATCATCCATGAAATCAACACTTGGTCCTAATTTTACGAGTGAGATGGCTTGTTTTAAATCTAACTTTATGTTCGACTGAAATATACCATTATTTTTTGAAATTGAACTAAAAATATTAAAATCCTCCCGATCAGCAGTTTTCTCAGCATCACAGTTTTCATCGACTGTTAATGCTTCTTGCAATTCACCAACTGTTGCCATTTGTTGACTATAATCAGTTTTTTCTGCTTTAGCTGCATCCATTTCTCTTATTCGCTCAACAAGACGTGATTTTAATTCTACAACCACAGATCTTGCTAATGCTTCATTTGACTCCTAAAATACATTTTGGTTAAAATAAAAAATTAATCCAATAACTTGGAACATTCAATTAAATATAAAAAAACGTTTTCAATTCTAAATTCCTTGCTGCATGCTTGACATCCTGCAGACGTAAGAATAAAAAATTTCAAGTCTTCATTTAGGTTTACGCATCATATTAAGGATGAAAGGCTTAGAGCCTCAGACTACATATCATTCTTCATCAAGCCGTAATCAACATCGCCCATACGTTATTTTCCGGAAAAGTACACTTCAATTATTCACAAACTTACGCTTTTCTGCCATGAAGAGAGGAACACATCCTTTTGCTGGTCATCTGAGACAAGAGAAAATCCTTCATATAACTGCAAAAATAGGACTACTAACTCGCCATAACAAAAGTTCCTTTAGAAAAATAATCGTTTTGTTCAAGTTTCTATTCAACGAGAGAGAGAGAGAAAAAAAAAACAATTTAAAAGAGATTTTGCTAAAAATAAGCAACCTTTTCAACTGGCAACTCATCCGCAGCAGAGTCGTTATCGTCAGTACCTTCCGATACTGAAGAGTTTGATGACATGTTTGAATGCTTTATATCTTCACGTTCTATATGTGTTTTGGGAGCAGAAAGTTCAATAGCTTCTCTTAAGATTTCAGTAACATACAGAAGTTTTTCTTCCTCTGGTATTTCATTTCCATTTAGACTGCAACACGAAACCTACCGTTCAGAAATAAATACCTTTGAAAATGAAAGTTACTTATCCTCATGATTCAACTTAAATTTCAAAACTGCGTGGTAGGAATACCATCAGAAGTGTGAAAAACAATTCATTAATAAACAATTGATATAGGAAACATACATTTCTGAAGCAAAACTGAGGTGCGCTAGAATCTTCTCCGCAGTTGACAAAAAAGGCGAGATTTTTCGTATTTTCTTCTCTGCTGCACAGCAATCACGATAATTGATAAATTCAAGGCTACATAAAAGCCTGCAAAGAATTGTCTTTTTAAAAATTATTTAAAACATGCTTGAACTGAACAAAGATGATGAACATTCAGCAAGCATAGAGATTCATTCCTAAAGATACAAAAAAACAAATACGTGCAACGGTTGGATAAAAAATGTGGACAAATAAGAAAATTCACAGGTCATTATTAATTTATTTCTATTTCAGTTAGCCTAATTTGAACTTCAAATAAAACTCAACTGAGCTGAATTAAATTATATTTAAGGTAAACAGATTGTAATTAATTCCATTTATCGATTAAATAAATTAATAGCAAATAAATTCCAAGTGATGGAGCGGATAATATTAGGTAAAAAAAATTACAACGCAGATTAATTTTTCAGCACAAAGATTCTGAGAACGGGGACAGCCAATTTTAAATAGTTGATTTGTTCAGAAATAAAGTGTTTTAAACCTTACTTGGACGTGCTGTTTCGTAGAAGCAGTGTTTCGCGAAAGAGATCCAAAAATATAAGTATCAATTTGCGTGAAGGACACGACAAATGCAATAGAAAAAGCCGAAGATGTTCACTCCGTAAAAGAAACAATAACTGCCATAACTCCTGTGGATATCCCAAAAACTAATGGACAAGGAATATCCAATAGATAAAAGTGGTAAAATTGACTAGTTGCAGTTATACACCTACTACAGACCAAACAAATATTGATTCAAAAATATTCACACCGTTGTAGTTATTGAAAAAAAAGTACTATTAGGATATAATATAAATAAATTGCAAATGAATGCTACCTTCAAGGCAGATAGCTGAAGAAACTCTTCGCATACATTATCTTCTAGGGCCAATCGCGACATTTCGAGCGTAAACATCTCACACAACAACTCCGAATCATTATATCTAAAGAGATGAAATCACTTCAATTAATATCTCGATAACTTCACCTTTTGCCTTCAAGAATGAGATTCATATTGTCATACTGAATATCAACTTTTCGTCAATCATACAATTCATCGTCTCCAAAATATGATGAACTCACTGTACAGAAGAGAACTTTGCGATGATTTAAATACAAATCTCTATGATATTTATACTGATACAGAATTCTTATTAGAAGACAAAGAAAACAGCGCTGTAAAGATGCAGCAGAAAAATTGTGTTACCTACACAAATTTCTCGTCATATGCACATGATACTGAACTTCACAACGAAGCGCTTTCAACAGTTCAAGCCGGAACGAACGTAAGCACACAGTTGGATTCATGTCAAATTTCTTCCGCAGTCTAAACTGCACAGTCTGATAAAATTAAATAATTATATAAATTTATTACATCGATACACATTTCTAGCTGATGTTTGATTAAGAATGATAAAATTTGAGAGACGAAGTCTCACTTATTATTTCAGTATGCACTGCTGCTACATGCATCCGATTATAGAGATGAACAAAACAACCGCTGAGAAGCCATCTAAATTGGAATTTATCTAAGTCGATGACTCATAAATTTATTATATATATCATGGAATTAACATACCCAAAAAACGCTACTTCTCGGGATCGAATGGCAGCAACAATACGATGGGAAACAGAATCGAAATCAGCTGACACACTGGCATAGGAAGATACGATATAATAACAAAACCGCTTGGTAGCTTCCACCAAACCGATGAAAAGTGCAGGAAACACCAAGAGGCCTAATATCTGATGAGAAGCAGAGAGTCCGCAAGCAATAACGGTAGCTATTACCGAAATGCATGAAACGGACTGAAAGAAAAAAAGGAAATGCAAGGAACTTCATGGGTACTCTTCATTAGATTTCAATGCTCATCCATTTCATTGATGGAGCATTATAAGCTCCAAGACTAAGATACTACAGGATCAGTAAATGGAACGAAACAATTCTTCGAAACACATCAAATAGATGGAACACTACTTTGGAAGAAATTAGCGCTTTCCATTCTGATGTCAAATAATGCTCCTCCACCACTTCCAAATCCGTAACATCCAACAACGACTTCTCAAGAAGCAACTGATATACTTGCCAGAAAAAGCCTGAACTAGACATCCAAGACAAATACAGCCCAATGCCGCAACCCAGAAGGACTTTATTAAACTGCAATAATACATAAGCAAGTAACCGAACAATCAATACAATCAACATAACCCCACTCTCAAATAATAACGTCACCCTAACCATTTATTAACCCCTTCAGCTGCACAAATCTTCAACCCAGTATCATTGAACAACAACAATTAGATATATACTTGAACAGTGTATGATGCACTTGCAATGACGTCATAGGGAATATCCATATTTATTACTGAAAAATGAAACATTTTAAAAATTGGCTGATTCATACGAATGCGAATTTGACAACAGTAAAATTACTTCCTTATTCTTCCATTAAAGCTTCGATACAAATTCCAAGGAATGAAAAAAAATTAAGTTAAACATAACATTGCATGGAAACAATTGACAAATTATGAAAACCGATCAATACAGAAATGGAAACAAAACACATGCAAAAAATAAAATGTTTGGTGGAAAATGAAAAGAAAAACAGCAAAAGCATTTTGATAAGAAGTGAAGAAAAACTGTATATGTATATATTTATATTTATAAACATTATAAGCCTTGTGCTGGCTTATAAAAGCATCAACGGCTCTTCCATTTCAGTGCCTTATAGTCGCTATGGTATAAAAACAACTCAATAAGCCTTAACAATAAAATAATTTGAGTTGAACAATGCAGAAATGTTAACAACAAAAGATTTCACTCAGAAAACAAAGTTACGACAACATCTTGCAAACAATTTAAAGAAATTTAGCACTTCAACAATAGCTGTGTACAAAGGGAAAAGCGCGATATTTGAATTTAAAACAAAATCATCAGCGGTATGATGAGATAAAAGTTGGTTGACAACAGCAAAAATGGATAAGATGACAACTTATGACGAAAAAACTGTGAATCTCGACTGAAAAATTACATCTTTTTAGAAAAAACAAGGACCTTCATATCTTCAATTCAATACCAGATCGCTCTAGCAAACAGGCCATAGCTGTATGTTTTAAGCCTGCTCGTTCTAGCTGATGATTAATCTTAACTTTAAGGCTTCTGAGCCGAGTTGATGCATGCACCAAAACTAACAACAGAGGAAGTGAGAATGTAAAAAGCACTGTTACCACTGGAACTATAGCGTAAACGAAAAAATAAAATGACAGCAATATGGCACCCAACGTAATGAATGTGTAGTCGTGACGTGCCTGAAAAAAAGCTACGACTTCCAACGTTATTATTTATCACCATAAATCGCAAGAAAGATCACATTTCACAAATTTATACGAAAAAATCTCAAAATTCAAAACCGTGTTATCTGAAATATTCGGCTCAAAAAATCAGAAAATTACACCAAAACGCAAGTGGAATCAAACTAATATTAAAAAAAAACTTGTACATTTAAGGCAGAAACATTTCTGAAAAAAGATGAAAAAGCTTTTCTTACTCTTATTATACTGCAGATATTAGCTGTAATAGTTAGGATTGGAAAAAGACCTATCCTCCATGAGCATAAACAGAGGCAGCTGCGTACCTGTACGAAAGTGGGATTTGACGAAAGCGAAAATACGAGTACAGTAGCTACAGATATGATAGCAACCAATCCAATAAAAACGTCACGTAATTGTACTGATGCACAAATCAATATGATAAGTAACATAAAAGCAAAATAATTTGTTTGATAATATAACAGATTGCTCAACATACGATTATTCCACTTTGCCAAATCACGAAATGGTGGAATCTGAAATCAAATCACTATCATGGATTTCGCATGGGATGAAAAAGTGTTATAGAAGTAAAGAAAATGAGAAAATGAGTGTGCTTAGTTGTGGCAAGATTGGAAAAATCAAAAGATCGGATGGCAATAAAAGTGATATTAGGAAACGAGGCGGAAAAGGTCAGAGTAGCGAAGCCTAGAAACAGAATTCTCGGCAACATTATTTCAGCGTAAATATACTTGGATGTTATAATTTGCTATTACACTTGACATACTATGACCACTAGACTTAGCTTTGATTACACACTAGTAATATGCTGGTAACAGAACATACATCACTGGTTAATTAGCTTCTGGAGAAAAGAGAAGGAAAAGAGCAACTTAGCGACCTTTATTAACAAACGACAACATAGGCTTCTAATGAACAAAGATCAGAACTAACCTCAAATCTCGATCTGTCATAAAAGAATTCGCGAAAATTACGGAGAGGTGGTATCTGCACAGAGTTTATCAGTTTCCAATTTTCCTCTTTACCAATGGTTTCTTGCGTCATCGCTAAAATGAAATAAACATCTTCTTTGCCGTACTTTTTAAATTATGGTCCGAACGGTATGATCGAACATTCCCGTGTCAGTACAGATACCATTGGTAAAACATTACCAAAAGATGGTTATAAGAGGTTATTGGTATAACAAATATGGTTATTGGTATAATTTATTATGACTGCCTCGTAAGTATACATACTTGGTGCTTCGCAACTTTATTAATCTATATAAGAATAGACAGATGCACCCTATAAATCAAAATTTTAGGTACGTTTTGCTTAACTATCACATTGGCCAAAAATTTATAAATGACATAATTCTTAGCAATTATGAATCTAGACTTACAAAACATTCGGAAAATAATTTTCACTGAATAAAGATCCTATTTAATATTAGCCACAACACTTCCTCAAAATTGTTTTCAATCAATTCTAAAATTTCGACGAACGGTGACCTATATCAGTAATATATTAATGGTGATATTGACAACCGGTAGTGCACTACTCTAGGTATTCTCTGTCATAATCACTACTTAGAGAACTCTCCACGCTTATTTCGGTGTTTCAAACTACTTATTCATCATTTCAAGTCATATTTTCCGGCAAACTCACCATAAGATTACATTCGAAAAAATACCACAAATAACTCATGTGGATGTCAAGTAGGGACTATTAAACCCTAAGAGCTTGAAGTCAATATCTGCAATATATAGCCCCAACCATACTTATCCTGAGAATGATCTCGACAAGAGTCGACTGTACCGTGCCTATATATTATGTCAATACCTCCAAAATTTTTATTTTCTTTCATTCTCAAATAAACATATTGCAGATCCCATAAAAAAGAGAAAAAATATCTGGAGGCATCTTCTATTACGGAACAACTCATCTTTACTGATTTTCGTCCAAAACTTCAATAAGATAATAAGACAAAAGATCTGCCACCCACAATTTCACGTTGCTCTAACAAATGACCTGTTACAAGTCCAAGTAGTAAAAACTTGAGAGAATGTACTTCTACAAAGAAACTGGGGGTTCTTTCCCATTAATAATGTCAGTTCACAAATCTAATGGGGTAGAGCAATTTTTTTTCTCCACTACCTAAAAGCTCTTTCACAATAGTTTAAGCCAGCAACAATTATCCCTCCACTTGCTACTGTTAACACTATGCATTTTCCTAATGCTTTGAAAGCATTGGGGTGAGATAACCAAAAATGAAACTCATTCAAAAAAGGTACAATAGGGCACAATGAGACAGGAGCTAGACGTAGCATTTGTGGAAGTTTTTACCTAAGAGTATTAATACAGATGTAACCTTTGACCTTTGAAAACAATCATTACAGTTGAATATGAACTGTGTGGAGATGAGATATAATTCTCCGGTTTTCTCGAGAACACTTCTCCCACAGATTCCTCCCATGGAAAAGAAAACATTGCACACAACTCGTTGTGGAAGAGATCCACGCCAACATTTCAATTTAGTAGCTCGAGTAAGAGTTACCATCTGTTTCATTAATTGGTGGTGGGTGGTTGTACTGTTTGGTTCCGGATTTATTCGGGATTTGATAAAATTATTATTATTATTATTAAGGTATGGTAAAATTGTTAAGTTTGTTCTGCTTTACTCTGTTTTACATGAAGAATTGCTTTTCAGGTTGCTACATTCGTTTAAGATTTTTGGCTTCCAGCAGGAGGCGATTGAAAAGTTATGGTTAGTACTAACAATTTTGTTTAGTGACGCGTAGAATTATGGCAGGTATTATATTTTATGATCACTAAGTGATAGTATTTCGGTAGAAGCTTTTTTTGCGTTGCTGATTTAACTTGTTTCAATCTGCACTTATTTCAGGTTACAATTGTATCAAAACTTGATACAGCCCATCGCCTTACTATTGTAAGTTAATTATCCACACGTTTTACTTTGTCCTTATGTTTATATATCGGGCTTAATGCACCACGACTACGGGGAGTAGCTCTTTAATGCATTCTTTGCTGGTAGCACTACATGGCATTCGCTATTACGTTGACGTAATGAATAAAGAGTTATATGAACCGTTTTGACTTCTCAGTAGAACTTCTTGCCCAGTTAGCCACTACGCTTACAGTTCTGAGCAATCACTTTATGGTTTTATCGAGATAAAACTCGAGACTTTCATTGGGAAAAATTGTGTATATTCTTTTTCTTGTTTTAATCTCTGGTAATAGAGCAAGTGGTAAGTGGAATAGTTTAGGCCGAGCTGTTCGAGTTTTATCTCGAAATGTATGAGCATAGGAGTTACCATCAATAATCACCGCTAATTTATTTTTTTTGAGTCTTGTTGTTTTCCTAGGGAATCTTTTCTTTCCAGCATGACGCTCAAATGAATTATTATGGTACTCGGCTTGCTACCTGCTCCAGTGATAATTTGATTAAAATATTTGAGGTTCGTTATACCGATATAACTTTTTCGGATTGGTTTTATATTTAAGATATGAAAAAGTACAAGTAGTTGGTCCAAGAGGATGAGTTGTAGAGATGTTTTTGGAGCCAAGCAAATGTCTGACGTATCAGAGAAGACTAAAAAGCCGGAGTGATTGGTCTTATTCTAACCACGTTTAATTTTTTTTTCTTTGCTGGTCTTACCTTTCTTGAAATAATGATTTATTTCAGCTAAGACCGTCGGGACAAACGTATCCCTCGGCTGAATTAAACGGCCATACTGGTCCAGTCTGGCAAGTTTCGTGGGCGCATCCAAAATTTGACAATGTTTTAGCGTCATGTTCATATGACAAGTAAGGAACTAAGTGACATATTTCTATTATGGGTTGCATTATTAGCTAGTTAAATCGAGAAAGAAATATGTGTACTTCGTCAACGCACGTCTTACTGTTCCGAACATGTACTTACCTTCAGTCCGTCAGTTTCATTTTGCAGTCCGTTTGCGATTCGTGAAATTCAATGGTTATGTGCTTATATGGATTTTCATTCGAACATGTGTAAATTCTCGTCATATTTTAATAATGACTATCGCTTTAATGATTGAATCCCATCTGTATTTATTTTATTGCGTTATGGTGTCTTTTTTTTTGAAATTGTGTGGAATTATAGGCGAGTTATCATTTGGAAGGAGATTTCTGGCAAATGGCAAAGAATTTATGAGTGGAACCATCATGATGCAAGTGTTAATTCAATAAGTTGGGCACCTTACCAGTTCGGTCTTATGTTAGCTTGTGCATCTACTGACACTTCAATATCCATATTGAGCTTCAACAAAGCAAAAATTTGGACACATCAACTTATTGCGAAAGCCCATGAACAGGTATTGTAAATACCTGAGGTTTGGTGTCATACAGAGTGAATTGGAACTTCATATACATCTTTTCTAAGGAGGATAGTGTAGTTTACAACATTTCAAGTTATTGTGTTCCTTTTTGAATTGTTGTGTGAAATATTTTAAGGTCTACTAGACCGTCCAGTCTATGTAATAAGTCATTGAATGATCTATTTATGATATTGACAGCGGTTTGGTTTGTTATATGGATAAACATGAAGACCAAATGTCGAATTTGTTGAATGCAGAAGAAATTGCAGAATAGATGTACAAAATGAGAAAATTTAGAAAGCGCATGATTCCCTTATAAGAAATAATTTAATGGTATTTATGAAAAGCTTTATGAAGCATTTTGTCATTGCTTCATCATCTTCATATATTTGTGTGGGGTATGGACGTATCTCACATATATTTAAGTTCCAGGGTAGTAATGCAGTATCATGGGCTCCTGCAGTGTATTCAACTTCCCTTGTTCACAGTGATGGACACCTCATACATAAACGAATGGCTTCTGGTGGCAATGATAATTTCGTGAAAATATGGAGGTTTGTGAAGTTTTGTTATTAAATCATCATTACCATCGTCGATTAAAGAATTTTCTATGTGTTTTTTTTCCATTGATATGTTCTATATTTCTTTCCAAAGAACAAAAAAGATTTGCAGTAGTCCGGAAAGAAATAGTTATGAAGGTTAGTATCGTAACATTATAAAGTAATTGTCAGTGTGGTGTATTTTCAGAGAAAGAAAGGACGGAGTTTGGGAATTAGAAATTGCTTTAGAAGCACATACTGACTGGGTACGTGATGTTGCTTGGGCTCCAGTCGCTGCTCATAACGTTAATACAATTGCCTCATGTGGACAGGTATTTCGTTTCTATGTTCATTTCAAACTTTCTTTTTAGTGAAAATCATTTTTGATAAAATAGCACCATTTTGGAATATTTCGCATGTTAATTGATGTAGGACAGAAAAGCGATAATTTGGCGCTGTTCGAACGTTGATCAACGACAATGGTCTGCTCAAGAACTGGCCGTCTTTGATGACATTTTATGGCATGTTAGCTGGTCCCTCTGTGCTACCGTCCTTGCAGTATCTGGTGGCGACAATGAGGTAATCTTTGGAAATTCAAGCTTTTTGACAGGAAGCATTTTCAGTTTTTCCTTATTTGCAATTAAGAGTTGACTATCACTAAATGAAAAATTATCGCGTTTTAAGGAGTGCTAAATTTTGCATTTCATTATACTTCATTTTCAGAGGATATGTATTTTCTTTACATCTATAGAGATGAATAGTTCATTTATTAGAAAGGCTTTAAAAGAGAATGGAATTAACTCGGTACGGAGTGAAGAGATATTTCTAGCTACATCCACATAATAGTGGAATACTCTCAGATTCCTATTTTCAGATTTCGTTATGGAAGGAAAACCAGAATGAATGGGTACGTATTTCTGAAGCGGAAGAAAAGTGATATTTTCATGCGCGTTTCTGTGCATATTGTTGTTCATTTTTTGGATTGACAAAAAATTGTGTTTAGATGGGAAATGCTTGTCATTTAGAGTTAGGATGCTTTCCCATGATGAATACATTGCATTAGTTTCCGTCTATGCGCTTTTATTTTGAACTTTCTGCGAATAAGTGCCGTTAAAAAAAATGTTTTCATCAATTGCCGTCACTTTTCTAAATGTTGCAGATATTTTTAGCCGATGAAGTTCCTACTTTTATCTTCATGCTTACCCTGCTCACTATCTGTTTTTACATTTTATGGATAGATTCCTCTATATAGCTTTATTGGGTTTGTAAATAGCTCCGATTGGTTATTTGGATACATCAGTAACTTTGCAGATTTATATTAATATCTGCTGCAGTTGTATCGCAGTACCTCTAGTTACTATATTCAATTACAAATATTCTTAAGTCCCTGCGGTTAATGGGTTTCATCTTGAGTGTTATTAACGGATATTCAGGAACGGTTAATTTCGTACGTTCAAATTCCGATAAAATGTTCAGGAAATTCGACGAGAAAGAAGACATAATCGGTACTCAGCAGTTAAAGTCGTCAGCTCAGGTTCAGATCGAGACTTTCAATTCATTTTATTGTCTTGGGAGTGTGTAGGGTCCTGGAATATCTGAAATAATATTGCGTATTTCGCATGTCAGTTTCTGAATGTTGTGGCTTATTAGATGCTGTAGCTGTGGGGGTCAGTCTCGAACGTTATAAATTGCCTGGTGCCGAAGTTTAGGTAGTTTATGAATGCATTCATTGTAGTTTTATTTCAGAAATCGATACGATCAAAAATACTAGAGCAGTTGCCATTGCTAGATGATTATATTAACGATATATTACCTAAAAAAGACAGTTTTAAACTAATCAAGTGCAAAGGTTTATTTCAGTTCTATTCGATAAATTTTGAGTTCTTGTTTATGACACATTTTTTGAATCATGTTTTGGTTGACCATTTATCTTTCGTCATCATGAAATACTACCCATTGCCGTCATGGCTTGTTCTACTAATATAATGTAGATTTCCAGAGCATGTCGAACTCATTGCTGATTGTGACGGAAATGTGCTGTTTATCAAACCGAGAGATGTGTCGTATTTCCCCACTCTTCGCCTCCTTCATCAGTATCCTTTTATTTTGCCTCATGAGAAGGTTGGTGACTTAAATATCTTTAAAACTTTGGAAGCTTTATTCTCGTTATATTAGCTATCATATTTTTTTTGTATCCACCGTGATCAATATGATAAGCAGTTAAAAGGCTGCCACTGAAGTCAGCACTGATCCGTGCAAATATTCTTATTTTTCATAATTAATTGACATTATTTCTGTTGTCTTATCATCCATTGCCGAAATCACTCCTAAGTCACCGGTTAGTGCATCGAAGTTCGGGAGTTCGCTTTTAGGATCCTTGGTACTGGAATGGATAACACTTCTTATGGAGGATTGTGACCCGGTATTTTTATTATTAAAGACTGAAGACCCAGGAATCTTTTTCGATAAAAACGTCAGTGCTCAAGTGAAGAGACATATCATCAAGTTCCTAAGAACAAAGTGACGTGAGAAAATTTTTGAACTTTAGGTCGATAAAGGTGCCATCAAGTTTGTCCTCAATGGATCTCAAATCATGTGTCGTGGTTTGACCAGTCCGGGTGCAATGTTAAATATAGATGTTCCCGAGAACAGTGTATGATCTTTTTTTTTTGGATGCATGTCGTTTTGCACTAATCCCTCGAAATCGAAATTCTATGTACAGATCTTTTTTTCCTGTGGCATCTCTTATCCAAATAGAACAATTCCTTTGCGTACATGAGCGGTAGTGAACTTCAACATAATGCGGCAAACTTCCATTAATGTTCCATTAGTTCGTATCCTGAATTTATATTCCGAACATGTTATGTGTTCTACGAAGTTGTTTCTTGCTCTTGAAAAATACTATTTAATTTCAGGTAGTGGCTCTGATGGCGGAAGGAAAAAAGCATGCATTGGCAATAGGTCTTACAAAGATGTCTGCAGAAGAAATACTGACAGTGAATAAGGCAAATTTTAGTTTCTTATGCAATGAAAAAGAAAAAGGAAGAACGCGTAATTAATCCATATAAATTAATGGTTTTTCAGGGCATTGGCATTGAAAACCTACATCATTTGAACGATGGCCTTTGGAAAGTTCAAACAGTTTTATGACGGTAGTGCGCAATGGAAATCCATGTGGCGGTTCAATGTTCCGTAGTTTGCTGTGATCAATTTGGTCTAATATATGTTGAACGGTTTTGTAGTACGGTGATATATCGTGATTCTAAAATCCTTTTTGCACTTTTACCGGTTAGCTTATTGCTAATGTATGCATCGGACTCAATATTTACTGTTTTACAATTGAAGTTGACAAAGTTGCATAAAGCTCGATTCATTTCCTTTTCTCCCAGTTTTGGCAGCTATATCATGTCCATCTAGAACTGACAGCACAATACAACTCGGATCTTTGTGGAATTTCTATGATAAAGTTCTAATTTTATTAATACTGTAAATAGTAGCTGTATGAAAGTTAAAACTACTTGAACAAGCAAGGAACTACAGATAGCACACTGAACAGGAATGAAACCATTATTTATCGAAGGAATGTGGCTATGAAAATTGCCCCAAACGATGATTAACATGCTGATACCAGACTCAGTGTGTTGCCGTCGATAAGACTTGTTTACATGAAACAGGTTAGCTGCGAACCGTAAAGAAGCAGGATACTAAACAAGAACTTCATTTCAACTTAAGTAGAATTAACGAAATGATAATAAGCATATCTTGGTCACATTTCATATCAAGGGACTCATGACTACGAGAAAACTGCCTCAGTTCGCAATATCTTGGAATGTACGACATAAGAAATCGCCCAACGAAAATTAATCAGAAGACATTTCATCGCTTTTGTCCATCTTTCTTCGGCGTTGAATTGCATTTTAACAGAATACTCCATTTTGTTGTCCTCAATATGTTCTCTATACATTCGGTGAGGGAACCGAAACTAAAACTAGTTCAACTTAATTAACCATCCGAAATTTAAATGATTTCTATTGATGAGAATAATGATATATGTAAGGGTTTTCAGTCGCATTACATATATTTCCAGTTAATCTCAGGAAGATAGATGGGGCGCACAGTTGGAATAGTAGCCGATGGAGACAGAAGTAATAAGCGGGTAGACTCGCAGCAGTTCATCCACTTATTATCACTACTCACTTTCACTCGTTGGTGATTTCTTCGCTAAAGGTCCAATAATATCTTAGACGTGTAATGTATTCAGTGAGTATATAAAGAAGCTTTGTACATCACCGTCAACGGTATATAGGTATTATACCCGCATACTGTTCACGGTAACGCAGAAACTACCGAAGTTGGATCACATTCAAAAGGGTGGTTTTGCAGAAGGATGCTGAGCTATTTCTAAAAAGCAATAGAGAGTAAAAACATCAAGTAATGCTGAAAATTAGTACAAAGCGTAACATTTTCACCTGCGCACGTTCAATATGTCTCTGCAACTGACAGAAGCATTCCATAAAAGCACAAATGCCTTCATCGAATTTCTTTTGTCCAAACGGTTTAAAACCACCACTGCCAAAAAGCGGTAATTCAGCCCCCGTATCCAAACACTGGACAAATGAATGGCTACCAACTGGCACAATACGATACAAGGTGAATTGAATTTCAAGACAATCTGCTAAAGTCTGAAACGTCAGTTCTCAAGTCTTTTAAAAGCAGAGAAAAAAACAAGCAGCAAACTGATCATGCAGTAAACAGCGTCAAACGCCAACAACCCACTTACGTTGATCAACAAAGCCACCTGTCCCCATGCAGCATTGATTTCGCTCCATTCAACCTGAGAATGTGGCAACTGACCAAGACGAAAACCATTAATTGTACCGAAACTTCCTTGCTTCCAGATATGAAATGCCGTATTTAATACGTTGATTTTCGACAGTCTGTCACGCTGACTTTTCAAACAATGCACCTCGGCTTCTAAATCTTGCTCCTTCATTTCCATTCTGATCAACTGCCTTAACTATCCATATGACAAACTACAGAAATAGCATCCTGATCATTTTTGAAAGAACAAGTTGAAATATAATTAAGTAGGCAAAAACTTCATACCCACATCTTGAATATACTAAAATGGATGGCCAATCAAATGATAACCTGACTTATACGACTTCCTTTTTCTTGTTTACCAGATGTTACAAGAAAAAATTTTTGAATGCCCTCGAAGGTATACTACGACGTACTCAAATGTGGAAAGAAATCTCACATTTAAACTTTATCATTATTTTTTAAACAATGGCTGATACTGTTAAAAGAGAAATGTGAAACAATGCGCACAAAAAAAAATTAAAAGCGAAGGAAATAACTTCAGTAAAATGATATATACAGTTCCCCTCCTCTCTCCATTTTCCTACCATGCACTCAACAAAATTTTCTTATAAACTAGAGAGATAGAAACAAAAACCTGTGATTATCACGAAATACTCGCCATAACAATTCTGCAGATTCATTCTCAGCATATAATTCACTCTTCTTTTTTTTTAATTCCGCATCCAATTTTGCTTCTTCAGCTTCTAATTTTTTCGATTCTCCCAATAAAGAAGCTTCTTCATTCTACAATAAAAGATATAAAATAATCACATGATGTGTTGAATTCCTCACAGTCTCAAAAAAGTATGCTTGGAACACGATATTTCTACAGCAGTATCAAGGCTAATACAATTGGATAATCCTGCCAGAATAAATAATAGATTTATGTCACCTTCATAGCAGCAAGCTTTGCAGCTATGATATTTCTATCCATCAAGCGAGCATCACTCCCTTCTTTCAGCGAATCAAGCAATTCACGGTATTGTGCACATTCTTCATCTAATTCTTTTAAATGCTGATCCATCCCCGAAAGCAGCTGCTCTGTACAATCCTGAATTTCGTTCAGTGTGGTGAGGTCAAACATGACCAGTCAGGAAGCAAGTGTAAAACACAACCCTGATATGACCAATTACCTCGCACATGGGTCCCTTTAAAGCTGAATTTGAACTGCTTATTACATCATACAGATTTCCTGTCGTTTCTGCTGCAGCGCCTTCCTGAACACAAAGCGATGGATCATTCTGGAAAAAAAATGCGGCCTTATTACCCACTTACATTTAGCGAATTGGCACTCCCAGGATAGTGAAATTTTTTGACAAATCAGTATATTCATTACGGTAGCAAAAATGGTTATAAACAGATTGAAATAAATTAGATGAATTGATACATCAGTCAAAAACGGATTTTGATCATCCTCAAAGCATTCGAAAACGCTCTCATCCAAAACCAGCTTATTCTGACAATTGAAACATGTTGGGATGTTGTCACCCATTTTGCAGAAACAAATCTCTTCTCTTTAGAAGCTAGGAAATGGAAATTTCATCTAAACTGTCCAACCTGGAATAGAAAGTACCGTTTGTTTTCAAGTTATGCTACAAAACAGTTAATATAAAGCACTTCATTCTGATTTTTACTTCATACTAACTCGATAACATAAAAATTTATCTACTACTTATATATATTTATCTACTACTTTATCTACTACTTATTCTAATCTCAAATTTATTTGCTCTTAGTTCTCTATGATTCATTCCTCTCATGATACCTCGTATATGCCATCTGCTATTATTAAAATTTATTATTAAAACGTTTTACTTGTCTCAACCTCCTCAACAGTACTCTACGTGAAGAATTCGTACAGAGTAAATGTGTATTTAACGCCCTAGCACGATTATAAAATAACGGCCGAAATGTGCACTCTAATATCGATACATCTTGACAAAAGATTTCTCCACGTCATGTCATACATCATACTCCTCAAGATGTCACAGCCCTCTGTTCTTTTGCGCCTAATTCTAAAACTGACCACTGGCTCACAATATGTATGTCTCCTCAACTGTCTGCCTGCAAAATCACTGACATCTTTAGGGAATTCCAGGCTCTTGGAACCTTCAACATCCAAACCTTACATCATCACATAACATCACGAACATACAATTATTGAGCTGTAAAAATGAATGGGCTCTCAAGAAGTTGTGAGAGTAATAGCATACACATTGGTGGTACGTGTCGTTATTGTGTTAATTGTTGAGATGTATTTACGGAATGAAGTGATAGGGTGGAACATTGATGGGTGGTAAATAGGGCTGTGGGGCCAGATTCATTTCTCAGCAAACAAGGCTTGTTACAACCAATAAGTCTTCCCGGTTGTCCTTTTTTGTTTCGGGTATTGCTTTGTAACATTTTCAAAGTAGGTGTTAATAGTTATATTATGAATCAATTATATCCCAACGATGCAATCATCGGAAGGATGAGATGAGATTTCTGAAAAGAGTTTCTTGGCTATTGGTTTGCTGTTGGTGTCAGCATGTTCACAACCTTTTTACCTCATGAAAATTCACAGGAACGATCGGGAGATGTAGCGCGATATATGACCGAATATTTATAGTCACAGCAATATTTCCTACACAGTATGTTTGCTTAATGATATCTGTACGCGTGAACTATGTCCTAATGATTATGTTTGCTTGGTCGCATATTTTTGTTTTTTAGCACTGAAACGGTTGGGTTGCGTGACCACCACATATTTCTCGAAATGTCTTGGTTGTGGGATTGGGTGTCCGGCATGCTTAATTATCTCGGTAAGCACATTCTTTTATACATTTGTTCGTCTGTTAGTTAGTATGAAGTATACTGCAGTCCATTACCCTTCAGTGAACTTGAAATGAATTGTAAGCAAAAAGGCATTGAGGAAATTTCTTCATGTTTATTGAGCATTTTTTTTTTTGTGTCAACGTATATACTCTGATAAAATACGTGATTTAGATCTACATTTCGAACTAGACAACATGCGATAATTTCCAAGTTTGTCTCATCTGTCCTCAGTTTGAATTTAACGCTTCAGTTGATATATGTTTACAGGTTTAACTAAGAAAAATGGTAAATTAGTTTTCTTGGGACTGGATAACGCGGGGAAAACAACGCTTCTTCATATGTTGAAAGATGATCGTATGGCCCAACATGTTCCAACACTTCATCCTAGTAAGTTGTTTTTTGTGATGTATTAGAATTATTTGTTAGAATTACCCTTTCATACTAAGCTATTGTAGACTGATAATAGTCATTCTTTTGCACACACTGTTTGACATCGTCTTGACGAATATTTGGAAAATGTTGCACTTTGTGCATTGTGAAAGTAGTACGCTAAGATAAAAGGAACTGGTGTACATTCCTGAAATTTGCAGGAAATTGAAAAAGAGAAGGAAGATGGGAAAAAATTCTGCTCAGAAATTATACTTAGAAAATATTTATATGCTCCGTACTTGAAAATTTAAAGATCATGGACATTATGTATACCTAGTTTTGATTGCTGTATCTTTTCCATTGACACTTAACAGTTCATTGTATATTTAATGAGATATTGTTTCAGCTTCTGAAGAACTATCACTGGGTGGTATTCGCTTCACAACATTTGATCTTGGTGGACACGAACAAGGTAGTTCGGTAACTTCTTTTTCTAGTACAGAAGTTGGCGAAATTTTTTCTGCTCATGATGCAGTTCTTATGCATTTAAAACCTTTTTGGTTTGGTCTCAATCTCATGCATGTCATACTGAACTTCTTGCCATAAATCGCAATTATTATGCAGAAAACAATGAAGTGAGCTTCACTTTAGGTACGAGCGTTTCTACGAGATCAGTAGCATTAATCTCACTGAATCGTATAGGAATTGAAATAATGAAACATTTTCAGCACGACGTGTTTGGAAAGATTATTTTCCAGCTGTTGACGCTATTGTATTTTTAGTCGATTGTGCAGATGTTGAGCGGATTGCGGAAAGTAGGCGTGAGGTACTGCTCAATCAAATCGTTACTTTAGTCACTTTTTCACGCAGGAAGTTGGTGCAAAAAATTGTTAAATTCATGCATTAATTCAATCATTACAACCACTTCATGCTTTGAATCGGCTGTAATGCTTTGACTTTTTTGTATTTTTAGCTCGAAAGTTTGTTGAGCGATGAGCAAGTGGCTTCCTGCCCTCTTCTGATTCTCGGCAATAAGATTGACAAGCCAAATGCATTAGGAGAAGACCAACTGAAATGGCATTTGGGAGTATCAAATTTGACGACAGGAAAAGTTCGTTCGTAGAAATTTATTGTTTTTTATTATTGATAAAAGAGGTTACAGCTTATTTTAAGTAAGCATCTTGCGGGAATACGCATTCAGTTTTCGTTATTCGTCACCCCGTTTCTACTTTTTTCCTCTGCTATCCCTCATGTCAAGTTTTCTTAATATATTTTAGGCCACGCTTAATTAAATCATCTGATTCAAGCTAATGGGCTACCCATAAACTCTTTTTTTGACCCTTACTAATCGGAGAACAATTTTACAATTTAAATATACTGCACTGGGTCACGTTCCTTGAACATATTTGTGGTACCTTTGAACTAGTATTTGCGAACTTTGCTAAATCTTATTTAGGGACAAATTTCGCGAATGGACATGTCATCAAGACCAATGGAAGTTTTTATGTGCTCGGTCTTAAGGCGTCAAGGATATGGGGAAGGTTTTAGATGGTTGTCGCAATATTTAGATTAGATATTGCTCGATATGCTTCATTAAATGACTTATGTGGAAAGGTGTTCACTTGTTGCACTTTTCCAAACAAATTTTTGCATATAATTCTTTCCATTATAACATTATAAATTACTATCTGGTCGTTCTTGTCCTTGTGGATATTTTTACACTTTTGTTGATCATTGAACTGGACGCGAATTTCAGCTAAAAAAAATCTTTGTAATTATCAACCAATGATTAGCGGTTAATAATTACACTTTTTTAAGGAATGCCATGCAAGAAGGAGCTGCTGTGCAGAGCGGCTTTATATGTAATGTTCGTATGTGGTGGGAGAACAATTTTAGCCGTTTGGGTTGTTACATGAAGTGGTTGAACATCTGAATGCTTTGAATTGTGACAGGATATACGATCTTGTATTGCAATTTGTATTAGATTCTGCTAAATCATGGATCATCGAATCTAAAACAGAAAGCGATTTCACATAGATAAGATTTGTTTGCTAGGGTAGTTGAAAACCGACAGTGTCGAGTGGGGAGGGATGTACACGTTTCTGTTGCATGTGAGTGCCAAGGTTTGAGGAAACTATTGATTCCGAGTAGTTATGGTAAGAAAACGAAAATCATTAATTCGGCGTATTCTGATATCAGTAACTCCTGAAAAATAATGCGCTTAATTAGGAGTTTATTGGATTTCCTGTTAATGTTATTTTGGACAATAAACTGGGTGATATATTAGCCCGTTGGAAGGGTTTGTGTTTGCAGATTCTTTTTCATAACTTATTAAACCCGTAGTGCTTCGGACTGTGTCTTCTGAACCTGCTGGAATGCAATAACACTTTTGGTGAAATATCTGCTTTCAGTGTTATTTTCCATTTCACCTGAGGTATCAGTATGAGGTTATTCAGGCTTGATATCGCAGAAGATTCAGGTTAAAATTATAGCGAGAGGGGAGGACTCACTCTTACCTTTTTGCAACTAGCAAGAATGTAAAAAGAAAGCGGAGAAAAGGAATAACATTTAATATTAAATAGTGAGAACTGGAAGTACGTCTGGGACAACTATTTTTAAACTGTGTGACATCAACCACATCTAGTCGCTTCACAATCTGGACAGCATCGTATGGATTAAGGAAGAAATCCTAAATGAAGTCGGATTTGCGTCTCAATTGTCTATGGTCAAACTGCTTCTGTTGACAGTTCGTTAACGTAGGTGTAATTATTTTTGCTTCAAATAACTTATGTGGTGACTGAAATAAAGCTTTGGGCAGTTCTTTTTCGTGAGATTCGATTTGCATAACAAGTAGTGAGGATTGAGTCTTCCAACATTTTCAATAGGTGGAAAAAGTCGATGTAATAAAGAAATTGGAACAAATTTCTTATGAGTCCTCACATTACTCAATAGTCATGGCCACATGAGTACATGATGAATATCAATTTATAATATTGAGGCAGAAAGTTACTAAGCCGTTTCTTGAAATCCTGATTAATTGACAGATATCATTCAGAAGAATTAGTAGTGGTAGTGCTGGTTTTTGACATTTTAGTCTGCCTCTGTCGCTGATAATCACGCAATTGCTATTTACGTTTCTGTTTTCGTCATATCCGCAATCTTGATACCATTTCACATATATAGTTATGTCTGATTGACCGTCTTCAAGCAATTCACCTAAATTCAAATTAAAAATACAGCTGATAGACTGTTAGTTCTTCGATGGAAATAACAAGAGAGTACCCCTTGAATTCTTCGATGAGAATTCTATTTCTAACAAACAGTTTGAATATCACAGAGTATGGAAAGAACTCGACGGTAATGCGAAACAAAGAATAGACCTAATTGGTGGTCTGTGCAACGGTTCCGAACAAATCGCCGGGCAACAGAAGGAAACGTTCCTCAGATTGCTGCTTCGTTTTTTTATAAGGGAAATATTGTCCTATGATTTTTTTCGGATTTTGCAGAAAAATCATTTTATTCAGCTTCCTTTCGCTATTTTCGAATTTTTTATTCTATGTTTTCATAGGAACTAAAACTAGGAATTTTTTAGCTACAAAAATTTTGTGTCAGTTTTGTCTTATCTTAGATTGGAAGAGGAACAGCAGGGATGGCGAAAGGTCGCTGAAAAAATGGAGGAAATAACGAAACAAAATAACTCACCGTTGCATAACCAAAAGTTTTATTTGTAAATACGGCAATAAAGTCATTCGGTAATCCACGACTTGGTATGTATACTTTGCTGTTGATGGTGACTCTATCAACCCTATTCGTCGTTGTTGGTGCAAAAAAAAAACTTCCATCGTGCTGGAATCTGTCACTGCTTACTGAAATATGAATTGGACCACAATGTTTATAAATTCAGTCATTCCTTATTCGGCTGAATGTTAAATTTAATACAAATTACCGAGAAGTCCGTTCACAACAGAATTTAAAGCTCAAAATGCTGTTTGGGGATTGCTCATCAGACTTAAAAACTGATCATGATATTTTTGTTCCTTGGTTTGATTTCAAATCATTTATTATTATTGTTTGCATTAATGTTATTAAATTAACTATTGAAGCTTGAACAATGCCTGGTCGAACACAGTGAAGATCAAGAAAGATATAGAATAAACCAGAGCATTCAATTGAAAGAAACTTGTTCTAGTAAGTTTTGTTTTGCGTGTAAATCGATTGTACCATATAGAGACCTCAAAAGTCAACACATCTTTCAGATGCCTTTCGGGAAAGAAATATGATGAGATATTACACTAATTTCAAGTTCCCCATTATAATTTTAGATTAGGTCATTATTTAGATGGTTTTCTTTATCCAGTTTTTTAAAGGATAGAATGGCAAAGTGGATAATTCACTTATTAATACTGGTTCGGTTGTGACAGACCGTTGTTACTATGTTTCTTTAGAGCACCGAAAAATCGTCACCCATTAAGTCAACGGTTTACTGTTTTTCTCTATACAATCTGGGGTCATTAGAAAAGTTTTTAGTTTAGAGATGAGATGGCGATAATCCGCTCTTTACATTCTAGATAATAAAATCCTGGTAAATTCATTCGAAATCCGATGTCCTGTTTTCCCAAGGATAGCCTCTTTCAATTCTTGTTCTGATTTCCATGATTTTTTTTAGTACTGTTCGTTCGCCAAAATAATGGTATCTACTGCTGAAAGGATTTTACTGCTTTCTAATCCCTTTCACATTTCAGTTATTTATATTTTAATTTTTTGAGAGTTACCTTCTATTATTTTTTCAGTTCTGGCAATCCTGATAATCCGATAATCAGTGGTACAACGGTCATTGACATCTGTGTTATAATTTCTTAAACTTGTTTTATAGATTACATTTATTTATGGTAAATTCTAGGAAATTTCAAGGACGAATGATAAAGCCTAGCTCGAGAAAATTGTAGGTTTCCATGATGGTGGAGAGATGAAAGTGAAAACAAAACGGTGTATGGAAGCCTAATTTGATGAAGTTTGACGAAAAACTGGAATGGAGAGAGAATGGACGGTTACTAGGGAGCATTTGTTGCATTAAAGACTGGAGTACTTCGCATCAATGACGAAAACCAAATTTTCATCCATAACATTGGACAGTCGAAAACCATCCTTTTAGGACCACGCACTTTCGAGACAGTCCAGGACATCGTGTTTAATTCCCAGAATTTAACCGCTATCACTGTTTATTAAGGATTAAAAAATTGTCGCTATATACTGGGTTGATAAAATTATCTCTACAGGTACTCAGTTCCCCAAAAGAATTTCAAGTGAGTTTCTTTTATAAATTCAGGATTTTTACTCCCACTTTAATTCCCATTAGAAATAATGACTGTTTGTCCACTTATCATTTTCATGCTCGTAAGCCACCAAAACCAAATCGATCTAAGAATGAATACGAGACCCATCAATATTTCACAGATCCAACGATCGGGAAATTTTGATATTTCTTCCTAAATCAGTATCGCTGATTCTTAATCGCACTGTACCACCTTTCCTAAATTCAATCAGAAATTAGACCCTTGTAGCCAATGACTCACAAAAACCTCACTGTGACCTAAGAATATTAACGCGAAACTAGTTTCAGCGAACAGCTTTACGATTTATTGCAGTGAAATTGCAGAAATAGTTTTTTAACACAGTAGGCAAATAATTAAAAATTTATAAAGAATAGAAGCTGAGAGATTCCCTGTCCTTTAACATGAATCAACCGATTAATGAGCCATATATTACAGGTATAATTTCCATTAAGTGACAGTTCATTCCTGCTGTATGGGAAAGATAAGAGTATACATATATAGCAAAAGTTTAAAAACTTTACTCATCTGTTCTATCACTTTCCTTTTCCGACAATAGGTCCTGTTTTATCCTAAGATTTTATTCTATCCTATCAATAGATAGTGATCAGATAGTTTTCGAACACCGACCGAATGTAATACATTCTTCATAAACGGCAGACAGATTGTAGAACAAGGTAGCATTTTCACAGTTATGGTTTCTCCACTCACAAACTATTATAATTCATTACATTAAAAACCATCTGCAGCATAAATTCCATTTACATGCGTTAAATACAATGAAGAGTGTAATCCCCTTCTTAACTATTCGAAAAGAAACATGACCGTTTGCTTAAGTTCAATAAAGCTTGAAAGGGTGGAATAATGGGAATCTCAAGTTTCGAAACAAAAATTGTTTAGCATATGGTTGACGCCAAAATTCTGTTTACGAAATATGACTAGAGCGATAAGGTAGATTATATTCATCGAAATCAAGGCCTTAAATGATGTGGATATGATGGTGATGAAAGGGACATGACAAGATATCTCTGTGGCATAAAACCAAATACCCTAAACTTAATGTTAAGACAGTAAACCAAATTAAAAAAAGGATTTAGCCAAATACGAGTGATAAAATTAGTATTAGATTCAGAAGGGCAAAAGAACAAGTTCTAACAAAATAACAAACATGCAAAAAAGCAAATGAACGATATTGTACCCGGAATATGACACGTCTTGAAAGGCATAAATAAAAGAGCACGGAATTTCACATGATTAAACAATTCAACAACAATATTCCACATGAGTCTGGATGAAGTTGTTGCACACGAAAAAATAGTGTGAAGTGTTGCGAGGAGAGATACAACACTTTATCACTTCTTGCAGTTATATAAATTATAAATTACATACTTATGAGCTCCAACTTCGCTTTTTGAAGAAAGGAACTTTAATGAGTAACCATAACATCGTTGTGGGGGCAGAAAAGAATGCAAGGGAAGTTAATAGCTGTGTAGTCTCAAAAACGCAGAGTTCCAAGAGATAGTTTGCTCAAGCTATACGAGCAATACACAAGGTCATGAAGAACTGATCTGCAGCAACTTTAAGCGAAAAGAAGCATCATGCGCAGCACTTAGGCTTACTTGAATTTCCGGGCAAGGTTATTTAACTGGTTGCCAATATTCATGTAGAATTCTCCCTGACTTTCCAAATATGTCGCCATCATATTCTTGAAATCTTCACCAAGTTCATGATTTTGAAATGTTATTTCAGCAAGCATCATATAACTGATAGAATCAACTTTCTCCTTCACTTTTTCCATATTTGCACTTGAAACGCGTCCTTCTGTTGCAAGCTTTTCATTTTCACGCAATTTGGATATCGCTGACTGCAGCAATCGTTATAAAGAAATAGGGGACTCCTTTTACAAGGAAGAAGTGGGGTTGAATGTTATGGAAAGAAGAAAGTAGTACAGAGTCAAGAATAAATCGGGACAATAGTCGGTAACCATCACTGCAGGTGGTGCTTTCTTCAATACAAATAAAGGGAATTAATATGCTTTTATAGATAGCAAAAAAGTAACTAGTTCGCGCATTTTGTGAATCAGTATGACGACTGGCACCTTCCACAATGGAGAATCAGATTTCCGAGGTGCAGTAACGTTATCACTACGTTTTGTTTTAGTCCTTAAGATACTTCAACATTTAATAAACTTCGTTCCACTCACCTTATGAACGTTGACGATATCTGGTATGCAGGCAAGCACGCCTTTGTAGGAATATAATGCATCCAGTAGAGGATCTAACGATTTCTTAGCTAATTTCTCATGCTCGTCGCCGATCCAGTGCAGAGTATTTGCGGTTTCTTTGAGAGCACTTGTAACTTTCTCATTTTCTGAAAAATTCCATTACACAAAAGTTCCACTAGAACAGCATCTACAATCCTTCTGCAGAACAATTACACTTACTACTATGATTCACTTTATTTCCAATGTAACACCTGTGCGAACATTCACAGTGTGAGAATGATGACATCCAGAATCCACAAACATGAAAAGTCATATTTGCCATAGAAAAATGATAGCTAAAAAATCAAAAAAATACGGAGAAAATCTACTCAATTGATCAAAGCGTATGAGCTCATGAATTATGCAGAAGTTGTTAAATATGAAAATTAAAGCTAACTTGATGATGGGTTGACATCGAATGATCGACATAGACCGATACACGCTTCTCCCATTTTTTGCCAGTTCGTTTTATACGCTATAAAAAGTGCTCGTAGTAATATAAAGCTACCTATACTAGAAAATTTCATATTTAAAAAAAAAAAAACAATGATAATCTATGTGTTAAAGTCAATGACTATGCAAAACTTACGTCCAGAAAGTCTTTTGTGGGTCTCACTGACTCGGTTATACATGAAGTGAACACTTTCTTCGAAGCTTCGCATTGAACGAGTAAAATTATCCACTTTCTGTTCACTTAAATCAGAAAAAACGAATAAACTGATAAATAATATA